AGAGTACTCTCTCTTCGGTTTTGGTCATCACCGATACTGCTGCAAAGTGAGGACTGTTTACCATGAGGCTGCAGAAGATTCACTGATTGTCGTAACTTGTGGCACTCGCTGTAAATATCACGTCTCGGAGACCTTTTCGTTCCGTCTATTCTCTCCAATACCCGCATTTCATGTACAAATTAGCACTTACAAGGCTGCGTCCTTTCTCAGTTGCAGACTTCGACAATCCAAATCCATGTAGGCGAGTGGTCTGGATACTTTTGCTAAAGCCAGATGTAGGTTCCTGCCTCGCATCGAAGCCTTCCGTCTGCATTTTCCAGCTCAACAGTTTCCTAGTCAATCGAGTAAAAAGATGGGCGACCTGCAGACGTTTATCATAGCCGTGCTTGGCGGGCACACTGTTTCGGATTAAAGATTTTCCACGTCAACTTTGTTGAAGGCTGGCGAAAGTTTAGGTGCAGGAGAGTGTCCTGCCCCTCGATATGCAGCTCATGGATGCCAAAATTGTCTCTGTTTTCTATTCTATGGCTCCTGTTCGCTGCTGTAAATAAAATCGCTAGCGAATCGATCTAGAACAGCTTATTCTGCATCAAGTGAAGCAAATAACGCGTCCTTGACATCAATAACCTGTGACAATCTCCGCAAGGTAACAACTTGAGTGGAACGAAAAAGCCACGCATCTCCTGGGTACGGCGCACCAGTAATCATATAGCGTAATTACGTCGGAGTGTAGGGTCGTGTCAGCAACACATTTTCCCGACGAGGGAAAGGCTTGGCGCATGTCTCGGTGCTGGAGATTGTCCAGCCCCTCTCATGGAATTCAAAATTGGTCCTTTGTTCTATCGTATGGCCTTTCTTCTGGCCATGGTACTCTACCCTGAGTGGCAAACCTAGGTGCAACACAAGATTTATCAAGTGGTACCAAGATCGAGGCTTCCAACATTCGACGACTTGCCAAACTTGCCCACAGTCAGAGCGATGGCGAAGGAAACCGTCCGTTGTCGGCCTGTAACTGCGGGAGGGGTGCCGCATGCTCTCCCGAGAAGACACTTACAATAGCTTTGTGTTATCCGCAGGGACGAATGTCCATGCCCCTCAATGTGCATAGACCTTGTGCCTGCTTGGCTGGGTGTGCGAAAAGAAACTCTCTGCAAAGAATCACTGTTGTCGGCGGGAATCTGCATGCAAGCGTGTTTAGATTAGAGCGCAAACCATCTGGGTGAACTAACTTAGGCGTGCGTACACTGCCTAAGTGAGACTCAGCTCAAGCTAAGCCACGCATGGTGAACTCTGAGCCGGTCCTGAATCAGCACAGAGTCGGGAGCAAAAATGAATTGTGAACCGAACCGTGCTGCAAAGGAAAAAGTCTGGCCACTGCTAGATTCTTGAGGGTGGCTTTAACTCGGCGGCAATGTGCTCCGTACAGTCCATTGCTTTTATGACAACCCAGTGGAAAACAGTGCTGTTAGGATGGATTTCGCAGAAAGACAAGACGAACCGGTCGGGTTCGGTTTCAAAATACGCGTACTTCAGACATGTTCCTTCGGTTGTGGAGGAGCTCTGAACGTTGTATGGATGTCTTTGGCACTATAAAGATTACGGGTGAGCAAGGCGCTCTCAAATCTCCTCATATCTGCCTGGACCGGCAGGAGGAATTTAAACCAAAGAGGCAAGCGCAAGAACCCGGTGGGCTGACACATAAGCATCTTACTTGAAAAGTTTCAGATAGGTGGGTAGATTGAAGGATACTTTAATGAGGCATAAGTGACTGAATTAAGAGGAACCAAATTGAAGTGTCAAGGGACAAAGACTCCGGGGTATAGGTTGCAATACTAACACTGACAAAAACGGAAATTCCTGTTCCCTTGAAAATAGTTCTTGTCCATCGACGCAGCTGACTGGAAAGACGTGTGGGGGAAAGTTTCATCCTGCATTCTGGCAAAGAAAGTCGGCAGTACATATGGTCTACGTCCGAAGCCAAGAAGATCGTAAGTGGGCTGCTTCTTCTCGGCCCAGCAATTTTTCTCCGGGCGGGGTTGCGGGAACTGTGATCGCCCGGGGGAATATTTGGCCCGACCACTGTACTATCTCTGTGGGGCATTTGGTCTAGCCTGCACTTGCAATGGCCATGAGGGGTCTCCACGAAATCGCCCTCGTGTTAACTTGACAAATTTGCCTTCCTGGCCCCCTCCCCCACCAAATTTGCTGCCCACCTCAACGGACTTCTGCACAACTCCAGGCCTGCACTCCCAAAGATGTTAGTATACTCACGCTCCAGGAGCTGAAAAGACAATTTTTCTCATACTTCCATGTTGCTTACCATCGAAAATGTCAATTGCATCGACGACCTCCCAACGACCCAATCCACCGAAACGATTGGCGGCCAATGACGGTGATGCGAGTGTGGCATTTCCCCCAAAGAAGAGAGAGCGATACGCCCGTGTAGCATGGTGAGAACAATCAGTATCTTTCATTACGAGAATAAATCTAACTAAAATCGCAAAGTGATACCTGCAAAGCAAGGAAGGTTAAATGCAGTGGGAATGTTCCCTGTGGACGATGTTCAGAGTTGCAGGTCAACTGCGTATACACTAACTACATTTCCCGGAAAGAGGGAAAGTATGAGATCCTGTATCCTCGCAAACTGTTTTTCATCGTTTTACAGTTTGCCTTCAAATCTAACATTCCACACAGAGATGGAAGTGCTCAAACGGAAGAGCAAAAGTTGGAGATTTCCATCGAAACGATGCAACAAAGCTTGAACTCCATCTCCAGTCAAATAAGCATGCTGTTCGACTACGTCAAGACCCCGAGTGACCGACCTCGTGATCCCTCGACACAGAGCATTCAAGGTGACGGTGGCTACCGAAACACAAGACGACCCAGTGGTTCCAAGGACGACTTCATTCAACGGCAATCAGCTCGTTCTCAAACCAGCCATTGTCACATTCTGAACGTCGTAAGCTCGAATCTAGAAGCAAAAGGAGTCATTGCGAAACCCACCCACAACTTTGCCATTGAAGTCTCTGAGCTCCCAAATAACTCTGCTGTACCGCTGGGTGAGTTGACCCGAGTGGCGCGCACAATTCTAGCCATCGGCTATGAAGGTGCTCAACAACTTCTCCAGACTTTTGTGGTTGAAGTTTACTACATGTACCCCTGCGTCTATTTGGACTCGCTCAAGGCAAAGATCGATACACTCTTCGGACGGGTGGTAGCGACGACAAATATTGCAGTATCGGATACCGAGGCTGTGAAGGTAGATCTTATTGACATTGACATTATCAAAGCTGTGCTCGGCATTGCTTTATCCTGCCAAGAGCAGGATAAGACCCCATTAGGGAATGACTTACATAGCCACATTCTATGGTCCACTGAGAATCTCATGAGGGGAGATGCCGCCGAAGTCGAAGATATCATGATGGCCTCCTTGATGGTATGCTTCTACGCACCCCAAACCTTGTAGTTTTACTAACAAGACGATCATTGACAGGCAATTTACTTTATCCAGCATAGTCAAACGATCAAGGCTTGGCGATTGGCAGGTTTCGCGGCAAGATCATGTCTCGAATATGGTTTGCACAAAGACAGCGTCCTAGCCAATCCAGAACTAAGTCGCGAAAAGAGAGACTTTTTAAAGGGCTTATATTGGTGCATCTTTGATATTGACCACAGATGCAGCTTCATCTTGGGTCTTCCATGGACACTAACTAAAGAGCGTGTCGATGACAAATTTCTTAGCCTAGTAAGTCTGTTCTTTTATGGTCCGTGACGGTGATGATGGTGTCCAAAACTCCATGGAACCAGAAAGAGAACCCCCGATTGCCAAACGCTACTAACTGTCAGTTGCTAGACTGGGCCTCATCCATTCTTGGCTGCAATGGTAAAAATGAGTCGCATCACGTCCGACGTCATCAGTCTTGTGGACGCACCTCTGCAAGAAAGTCAGGATTTTGACGGTCAGGCGGACTATCTGGCTTTTTGCGCGGAAAGAATTGTCGAATGCATTGTAGAAGTCGATCAGATGAGCGACACAGCGCTGAGTGTTCCTAAATATCAAAGGCCAATGAAAGCGCTTTGTCAGATACGCGCAAACCACATCAGGATGCTTACGCACATCAAAAGGTTCAGCGCTTCTCAGTTTTCAAAGCCGGGGCCACCACCAACGGGACTACTGGCTTCGATCGCAAAAGACTCGGTGACCATCATCGACGATATTTTCAAGACCTGCGAAATCCCCCGGCTTTGTCGGGCAGGCTTTGATGAATTCCTCATAGAAATCCTGTCTTGTGTTTTGTTGGTTGTATCACACAATCCAATCGAATACTGGCTCTCGTTCAAGGAAATCTTCCACACAGCCATGGAGCTACTCAGGCACACGTCACAGGGGGTCCGTGATATGGACAAAGAGGCACGGAATATGCTCGATATCGTACACAAGATTACAGAACAGCTTCGCTCATCCTTAGGCAAGACTTCGGCTGTGGGTGGTGGAATCATAAATTCAACAGAGGGCGGAGACATACAGCAAGATCTGTGTGAACTAGAGATATCGTCCTTGGATTATTCTATGTTCCCCGAATCTTTCCCGGAATCCTTCCCGTCGATCGAAGGTATAGGTTTATGGGACTCTGAAATTCGATGAGTCTCGAAAGCGTTGATGAGGTCTGTCTTGGGACCTTTAAGTCAATACGGCAAGGGATAAGAATGAGACTCACGGAGGAGGAAAGTATACGCTTTCCTACATTGAAGGAAGTCAACGAATTTGAATGATTACTCAGGCGAAATCTCACGTGGCCCCGGGTTTGCTTTGGCTTCTAGTGCCCATCCTCAATAGAAGCACGGCTTGGATATAAGTCGCGGCTGAGGATGCAAATCATTCGACAGTTTACGCCAGCATCGATTCACCTAGCATTTAGTCTTGTGGAATTTAGGCACAACTACTAAACCCATTTCGCCACCAAATTTTGTGCACACTTTCGCCCTTGCACCCACAATTTGCGTAATTTTGGCCCCATTTTCGACTTCATCATTGTAGTAATCATTTCCTCAACCGTTATTGCAGTCTCGGGTATAGTAGAAATGGGCGTAAAATGTTTTCTCCAGTCCGAGAGGACCTCACCAGCTGAAGTGCTTCTACAACTTCCATTCGATGGGGATATTGGCCGTTAGATTTTGTGAGGCAGATGAAGAAAACACCTTAGGATCCCCTTGATCCCCTCTTCGTAATAATGAGCGCACGCTTGGTCTTCAGCAATATCGATCAAAGCAGCTACCGGCGTAGCCTTAAGGATCCATAAGGACTCCTAAGGAGTGGGTTGCTGAGCGTCCTTTGTTACTTCTCCCTTGTTGTTCTCACCTGCTGGCATGAGAGTCATTCACAAGTAAGAAGTGATTGAGAAAGAAGCTATCCTTCTTGTGCTGGTGAACAGTGCCTACTCCCGTGCGCCGTTTTCTGGGTCTTTCGAATGTAACGAACCAGTAGCTCAACTGGTACAGTATCATACAATTTTAGGCCGGTAGCCAGAAAAAGGAGGCGTTCCCATTCCCTAAAATAATGGTCGGCACAAAACTCGCCCGTGCCCTAGGGTATACCGGACCTGTCAATCTTCATGCTTCAAAGAAGGTAAGCTTTAGGGAACAAAGTCCCCAGCATTTTTGGCCGAAACTTTTGTTCAAACTTTTGTTCCAAGCGTAGCATACTGGCGACCACAGTCGTCTGCTCAGTAGTTCGGTGGATTTACGGCGCATTCCTGTTACAGCTTGCCTCACTTAACATTATGCTACCATTAGCTATTGTTGAGGAAGGCCCTGTTGGGCTTGTTTCTTCCATCCTGCTATCCATGCGAAAAGTTCCCCACATCATTTTTGAGCATTCCCTGGAGCATTGGTCCGTCCCAAAGCTTGCGGATTGAACCGGCGTACGGTTGAAACATTTAGACAGATCGGGTTGGAGAAGAAGTTGCCAGGCACTGAGCACCTCTGTGCGCCGCTGGAAGAACTGGATGGTACACAAACGTCGGGCCAACAGGGGGTAGACCTGATCTCGAGACTCTTGGGGTGGCGGTACATATCAAGAGTAGCACCGACGTGCTACTCTAACACAATACTTCACCCTGGCCCAGATACGTCTCGAACCCGTCTTACAACGGCGTGCACTTGAATTGGCGCCAAATTGCATTTCTTACAACTCGTCAAAGGAAAAGCTGACAGGGTCGTTTTGACAGTGGGTTGAGGCGGCAAGAAATTGAAGATGCTGAGGCGCAGTAAGGGGGGGTGGGTGCAGAGGTCTCGTGGAAAGCCTGGGAGTTGAATGGGAAGGCGAGACAGACATTGTTGACATGTTTACGGCCCACTTCAACGCCGACATTACGGCTGTTCACGTCAACAAGGCTGTTTTTATCTCCTAGTTTATCAATCCAAAGCTCTGAAGCAGTTGGGGCTCTGGTTACCTTTGTCACCTTTGACCCTACTATCCGACACGTGAGAAAAAGGAGAAGTGGGTGCTTGTATTTCCCAGGCACCCAGAAGACTCTGTCCAATGTGATCACCAGTCAATGGTAGAGTGGATTCGAAAAAATCTCGAGATTCTGACTTGCACGTTAGTCTCAGAAGCATCAGCCACGGGACCGTGAATGTCAAATTCACTGAACGCTATCGAAGTGGGGAAGTCGCATCTTTCTCGTGAGTGATGCACGACATCGCGTACCGCCATGAGTAGCGCTGGGTTCAACTCTGGCATAGAAGATGCACACAATCTTGTCTGGAAGCTTGGACTTGCGCTCATGCCTGGGCAGCCATCCAACTACAGCGATTTTCTTGATCACCTACGGGCCGGAATGTCACCCTATTGCCCGGCGTGTTGCTCGCAACAGCTTGCATTACATGCTCAAATACAACAATATTACGGATGGCGACTTGGGAATTACTCCCAAGACATCAGAGGAAGAGCATCTTGATTCAGTTGCAGCATAGTTTGATGAGAATCGTATGCAGCACAAGGAGGAAAGAGAGCGAGTCTGCCAATCTGCTCGTGCTCTTGACGATAAGTTCCATGCTGCTGGAATCGAGATTGCTTGGTTCTATGAGTCAGCTGACATCAATGGCGAAGGACCGGGCGACACGTCAACGAGGTCAGGTGTTGGAATACAGGACTTTGACATCAACAACTATCATCCGTAAACCCATTCCTGGCCATCACTTCCGCATGCTTGGCTTCGAAAGGCGATACTGCTGTTTCTACCCATAATCTGACGAAATTAGACAAGTTCGTGCTCTTTACCGGAAATTGGTATGCGGAACTCGGTTCCAAACGATCATATTGATGTAGAGGTTATCGATAGGAAGTCTGGCCGGACCGATGTAGATGGAACATGGGCAGAACTGCGTGGACTTGATGGAGAGGGTGCCGTTCTGGTATTTTGGTACGGCACGATGGCATGGATGCGTGGAGGGCGCGGAGGCCTGACCTACAAACTCGAGGCAGTGATTCAGAGGCTCTTATGTTATGGACCCGACGGAAACTGATTGATACGCATGTAGACTGCGGGAGAAGGGGAGAAAGAGAGAGCAATATCTATTTAGGTAGTTTGACTGTGGTTAGTTGATCATAACCGACTTTAAGGATCATTGTGCTTCGGGCACCACAAGCTTCAATAATGAATCAGAGGGTTATCTCGAGCCAATCCAGGACTCCTTAAACTCCATCGATCACTTCGTGTCTAGCCGAATCTCTGCCCGACCACTATCGGAACGGGTTCTTTCATTTGGTTGGAGTGGGGCCGAAGGCAAAATCCTTAGGAACCTGTGTGGGGACTAGGTCATTGTACTGTACCTTTGAAAGACTATATTAAATGTGTCAAGCCGTCTCGGATCGATATTCCTCTACGCTGAACACAAGCCGCTCTCGCTAAAATAAATCAACTTAAGCAATTTGCTCCAAAGCCATGGCAATCTACCACATTTGTAAGCACATCATGCTCATTATCATCATGCTCATTATCATCATGCTCATTATCATCATGCTCGTTATCATCATGCTCATTGTCAAGAAATACTTATTTATAAGTGATTCTCAAATACAGTGTTGTTCAAACTTAAAACTGGTGTCAACCCAGCCCAGGTTTCAGAATGGGCTACGCTCTCAAAATCTATGGTTGGAAAAATCCCGGGCCTGCTGAAGATCGATGCAAACTACCCGCTTGCCTCGACCGCACACCGTACTCGGGGCTTCGACATGGGTTTAATTGCGGTAATGGAAAACGCAGAGAGCATCAAGACTTATGTTGGACACCCGGAGCATTTGAAGTATGTTCGATTCATTTCCGTCCGGTGACTGTCGACTGCTAATTGTTAGAGCACATCATCTCCGGGAGATGCTATGCGACGAAACCCTTGTCTACGATCTGGAATTTCCAGAAGACATCTGAAATATTCAATTACGACCATACCCAGCTCAGCTCTAGCCTCTTAGAACAGTCCGGCTAATCAATCATCAATGCTTCTTTAACCATTCAACATCTGGTCCAGCAGGTTCATCTTGCTTGCTCCATGGTTCGGCCCAGCATATATAAGGGCTTCGATATTCTGGTACCAGTGATCACCCAAAACAGCTTCCATTTACAACAATCCAGTCAGATGACCTATCTCAGCGGCAAATAGAACAATTTCAGGGCTCCAACGACTTGAACATCAACGAGATTCTGAGACTACTCGCCGACTCCTCTAGTGGTCTGCAAATCGACGAAGTGTGTCAATAATATACGCCTTGGTGCCATTGTGTCGGCTCCGGCAGCATGTTTTCTTCATCCACGTTCCTTGGTTCCCACCTGCGCTCGCTCTTAATCTGCACATTGAGAATGTCTTCCTTGCCGTTGCAAAGTTTCATATGTTTGATGTTATCATCCTCGATTCCTAGAGCCTCTGCGGACTTGAGAACCCCTAAGGTCGTTGGCGAGACACCACTTTTGTTCACCTCGGCCATGGTAAGCCCTCCACTGATTATTGAATGAATTTCTAGCATTTTTGTCATTGACTTGGTCTTTGTGCGTCAGGCATCCAAATTTACTGAAGGTGGCCATGACGGCTTGCCGGTCCTCGTTGGGCTTGCATAATTGTTGTGTATGCCAATGATCTTGCTATGCTCCGTTTTCTTGTACTGGTATATACTCTCAAAATAGCACAGTCCACCCCCGTCGTGTCTTAGAACATCTCCGTCAGGTGAGAGGGTTGCGGGAGAGGTAATCTGAGATTTCTACTGCTATCTATGATTAATCCCGAATGGCTTCTTTGATCAACCTCCATCAACTTCAAGAGACGCACAATAAAACCTTTGCTGGTTTTTTCAGATTGGGACGACCGGAAGAATAAGGCTGGATTCATGGTCTCCTCCGATATGGACAATGTGCTCTCCTCTATTCAGATTCTTGGGTTTCCCGTGGATATGCTCTGCAAATTCATTGCATTGGTCTAAGAAACCTTGGATTCTCAGCATAAGCCCTTCTCCCTTTTCAAACGTGATGCCCATGGGCCAGAACCCAATTTCCGCTGATACGATTGTGCCGGGTGGCACCTTTTCTTCTTTGTCGTGGGGATGGAAGGGGATGACAGGAGTTGACAAAGTCGGATCCTGAGCCCGATGCGAGATGCGCAGAACTCCTGTTGGGCCGAGGTGCTACTGATGTTAGCAACGCAACCCCTAGGTAAACAGAATTGTGCATACCTTAACTACATTTGTCTGTGGAATGTCTTCCTGATTGTCAACACCGGCGGGCAGCGACACCCAGGGGACGTTGTTGTGTTCTCGGACCTTGCCATCTTTATCTACCTTGCGAAGTGATAGATGGACGTCCATATCATCTGTATCGTTACATGATAACCAAAGCTTAGCTTTGGCATACCCGATGAGAGTGGTATTCTCCTTGAAGGTATATATAAACTCTGCCGCCTTTGCACTCAACTCGTCAGACTGATAGGACGCGGTAGATACTTCACGCGCAGGAGAATCTTCCATTGTGGCCGATGGCGAGAGATAAACAGTTCTATACTGAGTTTCTTTCGGCGGGTATTGATCGAATGGGATATTCTCTATGGGTTGCTTTTATCGTAAGTACTCCCGTCGTCAAATGCAGATGCGGCGGACTTACTTTTTCGAATCTATTTCCATATGTCAAGACAGAAACTCGAACCGGAGTGGTTTCCTCCCATCCGTTCTGAATGCCTTTCAAGTACCGATCGAAGAACTTTTGTAGGTCGTCGTTATTTTTTCTGAGGTAGAGGTCATACCACTCTTGAGTCGCGTGGAATCGCAGCCACTTGCTTGAGGTACCAGCTTCGTTGAAGCCTCTCACGGTCCCAAAGCCATGAATGCCGGAAGAATAACTCGCGACGGCGTAGACAGGGATGTTGATCTTGGACACGTCCAATCTCTTGTCTTCCCAATATGCATTCATGAGAGGATGTCGTCTCAGTGCTTCACCAATATCTTCTCTCTTCTGGCGTCCCCTGATTGTCTTGTCAAACACGAAGTTGGCGAAATCTGTTTTGGGAATGCCACCTCGGCAGACAACATCTCTATACTTATCCGTGAAGCCTTCCCAGGGAGCAATTGCTTTGAGTGAAGGAGGACATTGAACGGCAGCTGACCATTGACTGGCGGCGAGCCATGAGTTACCCTGCATTCCCAAAGATCCGTTGCACCAGTCAAGCTTAGCGATGTGCTCGACCATATCGGATACGTCGACACCTTCCATGAATAAGTCACCCAGAATAATCACAAATAGTTTTACTCTTACCTGGTTGAGAACCCTCAATATACACATTTCCCTCTGATTCCCATGAACCTCGAATATCGACATTTACCATCGCATATCCCCTACTGGCCCACTCGGCAGGGTCAAGACTATATAATAGTCAGTATTGCGAATCCGTGAAAATTCTGTGAAGGAACGCACGATTCAAACTTCTCCAAACCCGAGGTCGTGCTTATAGGTACACCGATCCTGAAGGGGGAGCTTTCGAAGATCAAGAAACCTGGAAAGTTATTAGAATAGTGAGAGAATTTCTAGGATTGCAAGCAAATCACCATGGCCTCCTTTGCCATAGGGGCTAACAGCCAACAAAGCGGGTACTTCCTCTTTGGTGACAGGTCTTATGATATCGCAATAGATCTACCACAATATTAATCGCTGCTATCTAGACAGTGGTCACAGAAAACATGTCAACAACTGAGAGGTAAAGGGATTGACATTACTTTGATGCCATCTCGGAGAAATATCTCAACGTTTTCGTCAAAAATGATATCGCATGGAAGCGGGCGGTGCTCTTTTGTTTTTTGCCATCCTTTTTGCAAGGTTTGAGTTTGTCTTTTTTGCTTCACATAAGGCGCCATAAAAGTCTCATCTTCAGGTGGGAAGGTATTCGTCCACGGTATCTCAATACCGCCGATCTCCAGAGGTGCGGCCATCGTGCTTGGAAGACTTGGACCAACGCGAGGACAAGTCGAAACCTTGCGTGGATGGAGAGACGTTTTGCTGAGAGGTCGAATAATTCTTTTCGTGATATGAATATAATACTGTACAATTTTGTGTGGTCGAAAAGAACGCATATTGTACCCTTGCTCATTGGGACCATGGACACTTTGAGGAAGCCAGGAGAGGATCCCACTGATGGAGAAGTCCGATAAGTTGGGGTCGTAATTCCGCAAACTCCGCGTGGAGTGTGTGGGCGCAATGCTTCCGCCATCACATCATGGCTGCTTCCGCGGAACAGACGCCCTGGATTTCTTTCGTCTCGCTCTCCGCGGAAACAAAATTACATCTCGATCTAGTGATTTTCAAACTTTGTGTAGAATGCCCTCGAGGAAATTTGCATCTAAACACAGATACACGCATCATGACAGTTGCATGCGGCTCTGCAAATTGGCCATTGGTGTTCTTTAGGAAGAACATTGAGTCTCGATATAGCATAGAACCACCTTCCCTGATCTTTACGATAATACTGTAACTCATCCAGTCGCAATTATCTGCTCGGACAGTCGTGGAAGCCCTTGCAGTATTAATAGGAACAGTCACAGCATCGGTTGGCCGGCGGTTCCAAAAGCTGAAGAATTGAAAAAGAGATCGGGGGCACTCTAAATTGATTTCAAAAGATGTACCGGAATTGAAGGAGACATCTACGACCCCGAGGTCTATGGCGAGATTCCAAAAGAGATTGCAGGGATCTTTTCTCGTATCATGTCCGCTCCAGCGATTCCTCCATATATTCAAACTATGTTATTGTAAACACAATTTTTTGATCACATATGGCAAGTGTAACATAGACCCCTAACATATCCATTAGGAGGATTAACGGAGATGGCGTGTCTGCTTTCCGGGTCAAAGTGGCCACATTACATTCAAGCAGCGCCGTGTGCGAACTGAGAGCCTTTCCGTGAGAAGAAAGTCAGACGGAGCTTTATGAGTAAGAATCTCAACTGGATCTAGCAGTGACATTTCCAGGAAGATATCAGAACTAGTTTACCGGGTCTTGTTGATTTCAAAGACTCGAGCTGTCTCGAACACAATCATTGTCCCTTACCGCGGTAAGCTCTTATCGCTGAAGGAAGATGGACCGGCATATGCTCTAGATCCAGTCACACTAAGAGACACATGGTATCTATGATTTTGAGGGACACTGGGACAGCCCTGCCTTCACTGCACATCCCAAGTACGATCCATCCACCTAGGAGTTGAGGCGAACCTCGAAGACACCAAAGATATCCTATAAGGGTCTTTCGATCAACACGATCGGTGCACGGAAAAGGTGTGGTTCGAGGCTCCATATTGTGGCTTCCAGCACCACATGGCAATTACCGAGAAAATTGAGACTGGTCAAAGATTTCTTGGCTGAAGAAGCCAGCGTGTAGGTTTTGTTCCGCATCAAACCCTTTCGAGCAGATCTTAAGTGTATGAAAGCTGGAAGAAATCACTGGCAATGGGAGCCTAATGAACCCTCCCAGCCGCGGCGCAAAAGCAAATGATGGTAAGGTATAACTCTTCAGCATTTGTTATATGGAACGTGTACTAAGCATGCTCCTAGTGGTTCCATGGTCTTAAAGCATATATTAGACATGTTGTCAACGCTTGGGAGGGAGATGGAAAAGTCGATCACCTCATGACTTCCGCTGCTGGCAATGTATTTGGCTTCTGGCCAGACAAGAGGGGCTCATCACCACCATTTGGGTCATTTCAGAGCGAATTGCACCAGTGGAAGTTTGGAGATCTGATGGACAAAGTCGAAGGTAAACCAGAACTGAAGCTAGTAGGCGATAGAATCGAGAGGTATGATCTCCCTTCCCCATTTTGGCAAGATCCGTGATGGCTAAACCATGCACACGACTTCCCACCCTCTAACAGCCTCTACAAGTATGACCACAAGACTGGGGCCTTCGGAAAATTTCCATCCAGGGCCATATCGGTTATTCCAGGAACCAGCCTTCATTCCACGCTCACCTGTCGGAGTTGAAGGTGATGCGCTATGAGATGATCTCAGGACTAGTTATCATCGATGGCAACGACTTCTCGCGCGAAAAAGCGGTTGTCAAGCTGCCTTTGAGACTTTGGTTCGGCATTACGGTAACTGGGTTGACGATACGGACTCGACCTTAATCCATTGCCACCACCTCCAAGTTCTGATTGATATTACGTATGGCGTTGAAAACCTGTGTCGAGCCTGAGTTCTGAAAGGCGAGCATGAGAGACTTGCCAATGTGCAAGCACATCATTTCGTCCAAGAGGGACAAACGCTACCTTTTTTAAAGATCTAGGAGTTGAGGAATTTACTTCTCTTCACAAACCTTCAGCCGCTCATTATAGCGTGGATGGAATTAGTGTTATTCGCAGGGCGAGAAAAGGACTACAAACTAACTGCCTCGTGCAGTACTTCACGGAAGCGACGACTTCGTATCCAAAGTCAAGGCTGCCCAACTAGCGAACATACATTTTTAGAAATATCGTTCTTAGCGAAGAAACGCCACTCCCATCATCGTGGAAGCCGAACTCGATCTTGAGGATGAAAAGTAAGTTTCCGCATCAGTCAGCTTGAACCCGGACTCAAATGGTAGTCGTGAAATCCTCGATCTCTTGTTCGCTGGCTACGGGAAGCTCCCTCTTCCATATATACACAATCCGTACGGCAGACACAGAGGTGTCGAGGTGATTGAGCGTACTCCAGGTACTATGGCTGGTCAGTGACCGGAATTCGTACAAGTGAGCATAGCCCACCAGTTTAGTGAATTTGGGGCTATGGTACAACCTGACTTGACCTGACTTGAATTAATTTGCCTTGGTCTCTCTCCGTAGGGAGTGATATGCTGGGCTACCAATATTGTAAACTATCCTATGGTCTCTAAGTAATTTGGAACTATACTACACGCGCGGTCTTTCAGCCTCGTTGGGAGTTCGCGATTTGAACCTTCCGGATGCTTCCGCAAATTCGAGGACTGCGTTGATAATTTTCCATTTGATTCCGTCATTGCCTAATTTACCTTGCTCGTTCCGAGGAGTTCCTCCGAGTATGCTTGCGGTGCATCCAAACGTACCACCTACCTGAGCTCGTAGTTCTTGTCTTGCTCTCAGAGTCCCGGGCAGTCTACCAGCACGTGAAATACCCTTCAATCGCCCCGCACACACAGCGGTGGTCGGCGGTGAATTTGAATCGTGGCCATGCGGTGCTAGCCAGGAGTGCACTGTGCACAGTTGTATCATGAGGTAGGTTCGGTGCCGTGTGAGTTTGCTGTAAAGGTGGAAGGTCCGCCTAGCTGGGAGACCTTTGTCGATTCGTTTCAGACGTTGGCCTTTTTGGCTGGCTCTCCAATCTTCTTGCCATTCTCCTTGAATCTTTTTGGATGCTGTTCGTTTGGGCGTTGATATAAGACGTCCAAAGCGGTGTTGCTTCTCAAATGTGACTGCTTGCTTTGCGAGCCGGTCGGCTAATTTGTTCCCTTCGATGCCTGCATGACCCAGTGGAACCGAGTGTTTATGGGTCGATCCGGGAATGCCTGAATAGGGTCCGGAATACGATATACTATTCGCTTGGTCTGGTTTGTCGGATGGGTTGGCGATTGGACTGATTGTCGCTGATTATAGTATATGTCTTGTCTCTTCGCCTATTGACTCTTTCCTAGTAGATTGCCTCGACTCCGTGATAGATAGTAATCAACTCGGCGGCGTGCACCGTCCAATCAGTGGCTGGTCCAATTCCGATTTGCCACGTCCGGTGGCGTCCCTCTTTCTGGCTCACCGTTCCGAGTGCTTCTCTGAGGCGTCAGTGTAGATGACCGCCTCTGAATCTTTGGTTAATTCAGCTACCTTGTCAAGTGCCTGTGACCTGTCTGGGTCGATTGTGATCTCGATTGATTCCGACTTCTTCCATGGTGGAAGATAGGTTGGATCTATGGTCTCCAGCGACTCAAGCTCCCCACTGTCCAGCGATATGGGGTGTCGGCTAAGGGGAAATCTGGGCCGAGTTGCCTGTCGGTTCACCCGTTGTCTGACTCGGTTCAGCACTCTGGCGAGTGGGTGTGTCTGGGGCAGAGAACATAATCGCAGCACTACATCTTGCTCGCGTTGTTTAAGCCCTAGGCGTGTGGGGAGGATATGGCTTTCGACATCTAACACCTGGGTCGCGACAGAATTGAAAGCCGAGATGATCCGGCGGAGGGCTCAATGTGGTGGGTCGAGCTCTTCTGGTTCATGCTACTTGTGCACGGATGGCGAGACAGGCTCGCGAGCTTCTCAATCCTGCAATTTGGTAGGGCGTGATTACGTCAGGAAATGGGTTGGTCAAAAATGTGGCTGGGAGAGACAGAATGGCTCGAGAGCTAGGGGAGCTGTGCGTGGGAGTGGAACTGGCAGAGTCGATGAATGACTTGCCTTGTATTATCATTTGAGGCATCTGCGACTATGCGGATTTTCATAAGAACGATGCGTGGCAGAGGTATACCGCTCGAGTGCGTGTCGGAAAACTTCTAGTGTGTATGCCAGACCAGACCAACCGTGGAAAACGTGTTCAGGAAATTTTTGGTAAGGAGAACCTCATAGTTTAGTTAATCGACCTTCAAAAATTCAAACTGCCTTCTATAGAATTCCTTAACAAGCAATCCCAGCCGATGGAAGAGCATCTCAACGAGGTCAAACCAGGAAACGAGAACAAGACTTTCGTGATCAGAGCCACCAAGCTCGCAGTTGTCTTTCTTCAAATCAAGCACATACAGACAATTCCAGGACGTAATCTAAACCGAATGGACAGTACGTGCCATGGATATTGTCCCCATCCTAGTATCAATAGAAGAATCTGACGGCGCACGATGATTTTCTTGGGACTTATCGCGCAGAGGCTGCGGCAATTCGATCCTCGCCAGATCACTCATGGGAAATGAACATCAAGATACTAACGAGCACAGCGTATGCTATTTCTTCTTCAGCGACAATGTAAAGTAAGATCACCTAGCAACCGAAGTGTGCACCCTCCTCCATCAACTATTCTCGCACCAGCCACGGTGGATCCGATATGCCGTTCCAGCATGGGAGATCACCGACGATGTGGCGGAGCTCTAGCGGATATTGCTCGCGACGTGACGTGTGTACTGGATGCGCTGGACAAAGATGGCTGATAGACTTGCTGGCCGGATTCTACATGCAGACATCTCGTCTAGATGACAATATCCGAGTCTGGTTCCAAAAGATGCTCGACGATCCTCCCATGATCCGATTACCAGAGGAAGACGAAAATGACCAAATCCACGACGAACTCGACATGGTCATCCGCATGCAAGTGGCGGAGCCGATATAACACTTGCAGTTGGATAGGAACATCAATAACAAATTGGAAGAGTGACTACTCGAAAGGGAACATCGCACGTAATTGCGGCTCCACTTGGCCATCTAGGATATTAAAGAGACTTATCGCAACAGCTTTTGGACCGGAGGGAACGTCGATCCAGTCACTCCAGTCGACGGTCAGAGACGTTACAAGAAGATTTTAGGTCGAGTGAATGGGGGCGGCAAGGTGATATGAAGAAGATCTTCTAGATCGTAGTAGGGGCTCGACGACCACTAATTGTGCGGGAGATGGCCACCGGTCTGGGAAAGCCACATCCACACGACCTCAGCCACTAGATAAGGTCAGGTGGTATTCGTTGCGGCTGCAACGAAAGGTCCATCATTAATGTGGATTGTTTGTATTTATTAATCGTAGTAGGATATACCTGATCCACAAGTCAACTATGGAGTCCTTGGTCGGTGGCATTTGGTCCATTGGTCCTTCACCTGAATGGAAATATTGTTCAGATTCGAGAGGAATTGAAAGGGATACACGGTCACTACTTCCAAAATTCGAAAGATGTCAAAGGGCGGAGGATGTTCAAGATCTAGATGACCATGCCAAAAGTCTTCAGGTGCTGGTTGTCAGGCGCTATACATGGCGTTCATCGTCGCCAGGAGTGGCCACTAGTCCCCACACGGCTAAGGCCTATAGAGTTATCATTGAATCCATTGGGATTTTTGTTTCCCTAGTCACTCTAAGGAGGCCAAAATGACCAAGTGAGGTAGAAGAGGCACGACAGGTGCCCTGTTAATATCCTGGAGCCCCCTAGGGCCAGGGTGAGTGATGGATGTCACGAAAGAGCTTGATTTGTTATGTTCGCCATAGTCGACATGTCCAGAGCCTGAATGGAAACCAGGTCGGAGACCTTGGAATGGATGCAAAGGGAGAGAAGGTATGCGACCGGAAGAAAGAGCGGCTTCATCGGCGGAGAGCGCGCAAAGTGTGCTGATTAGTTGCAGTGGCGCAATTGTCGCCCAATCGTTGAAAAGGGAAACATACATCTTCAGAATCAAAGGACGACCAGATATCAGTGGAGCTATCTCAACATCCACAGATAAAGGGGACTGGCAGATTAGGACAAGGTTCATACATTATCGATCAACCGCTGGAATAGGCATGGGGTATTTTCCAGAGTGCATTGGCATTATCGTGTCAGATCCATAGGATGTCTATACTGAATGCTGAGGCCAGACAAGCCGGCAGATGGACTCCCACAACTACAAGAAATCAAGATCTCGATTGTATCGGATTTGTTTCTCCGCACAGAAAAGTATCCCTATGTTTCACATATATCACTATCATTTTTTCCTGTCCTGTTCACGGGTTAGGCCAGCTTTGCTGAAACCGACTTTTGGGCCAGGTCATTGCCACTGGAGGCGCTGGAGGCGCCGGAGTTCAAAACTCCAGCTACAATTCGCGCGACCTCCATGAGCTCCTCATCGTGCTGTGTCCTCGACATCAATTGAATGTGACACGGTACTCCATGATATGTTTCCGGATCGTCTGTTTGCTCAAGCTGGTCAGATGATTCAAGAATAAGGGAATTAGGGAGGAAAGGCAACGCACAGAATGGTACTCTTGGGTCCCGAGCATCAGTAGCTTTATCCACCTTCAGGAAGGGAATAGTGGTCCCAGGGTACTTCACATCCGCTGTCAGCTTAGATATTCAAAAGATGAAAAGACTCTTCTTACATCTAGTAGATTGAGCAGGGAGGTATATGCGGGGGTTCTGTAAGTATCGTGCGGTGGAGCGGGCGTCACATAAGCCGGCAGGATGATGGCATCAAATTTATTGTCGAGAAATATCCTAAACCAAGCGTGTTTCAGAGCGCCGCGGGCTGCGTTGAGGTCGAAGTAATCGTCCATGGTGATCTGTTTACCACCGCTGCCCGTTCCGAATGATTTCTGCAAAGCCAATGCTACCGATGTCACCTGCGGTTCCCCGCCAGCCTCGATGTGTCCGAGGCTAGTATTTCGAGGGTCTGTCCTAAAGAAGTCCCAGCAGACGGCAGTTGCTTCGTTAAACGATGGAAAGGATTTCAAGTCAGCGACCTGGTGGCCTGCATCTCTCAAGAGCGCGACTGCGGTCTTCAGCGCACGAGCAATAGGAGGGCTGACGGGATTGTCAGGGTCCTCCAATATAAATCCGAGGGTCAAAGGCCGTGTGAACGTGACCGGGCGCCAAGGGACGCAAATTGCTGTACTATCGTAGTCCCAAGGGCCCGCACCGAGCACGCTGCTCAAGAATAGGTCGATGTCAGCCACGCTCATGGCTAAAGGCCCAGCAGATGCTTTAACCCCCGGGGCAGTTTTTCTTGACGGTGAGGTTTGGCCCCCATATGGGACCCGGCCGACCGACGGCTTGAAGCTATACGTGCCGCAACAGAAGCCTGGAATGCGAATAGAACCCCCAATATCAGTCCCCACACCAATCAGCGAGCCACGCATGGCAATTAGTGCTCCCTCTCCACCACTACTCCCACCAGGAGTTAAGGTCAATTTATGGGGGTTCAGAGTGCGACCAAATAGATTATTGTCTGAATCTGCCGTCTGAGGGCCCTTTGTTAGCAACTAGAGTCCGTGCATACTCTCGCGAGGCACAAGGCTAGGACTCACCATGAGGGTTTGAGGGACATTGGTTTTACAGTATATGACTGCACCCAACGATAGTAAAATCTCAATGAGAGGCGAGTTTTGATCGGGGAAGTCCCTTTTGTTGAACGTGATGAAACCCAGAGTGGATGGTATTCCCGGTAGATTAAAGCTGTCCTGAGCCTGGAGTTAGATCATCATAAAAAGAAGGCGACCAGATGCTGACTTTGACACTGATAGGGATCCCATGCAACGGACCAAAAAGTTCGCCGTGCTCCGCCAGATAGTTGTCCAAGAATCTTGCTCGTTCCAAGGCTTGATCGAAAAAGGTTTCGGTGATGCAGTTCGTCTATCTCTGTCAGGGCACTGAGCAAAGTCATAAACGAGCAATATATTACCAATTGCTGAGCGATCGCGGCACGTTTAGAGAACGCACTGGTAACCTGGACTGTAGTAAAACGGCGGGATGCTAGGGCTTGTCGGATTTCAATCGCGGTGTAGTTTTCGGTGATATCAAGCTCTGTTGTCGACAAAAGTCCACTTGTACGGGGTATTCCGAGAACGCTGATGGGAGATGTCATCGAAACCTGCGATAGGACCTCGTCTGACAAGCGCCATTCATGTGGAATTTTGGCCGCAGCCTGGGCACGCTTCTCACCCGCAACAGCTTGATAATCTGGAACACTCATGATTGTGACTGAATCGATAAATCGCCCCAGTCATCAAGAAAGAATGGTGAGGCAACGGCTGCAGAAGTGGCAATGACCATATTTAAAAGGCTCTCAGCCAGAACACCCTCGGACGGTCGACCAACCGCTGAGGATGGACATAGCCGACTAAACCTCGGTCTGATCCTGAATGATGGTCAGTGCAATGTATCATGGAACACGCTGCATGTTAGATGCTCTGGGAAATAAGGTTGCTCGGCTTGAACTTCAGAGTGACAATGTGGAGAACCAATCAGCTCACATTGCGCGGTGTGTGAAGTCCGTTTATCCGGCCCACTTAATTTCCCCGCAAATCATAAATCTTTTCCAGGGTCATTATCCACGACATGCCGTCGGTCGCTTTGGTGTATCGGAAGCATGGGAGGGGCAGTGTCCAAACCAGCACGCGTTCGGGCTTATCGAGGTGCCTATCTTCGCAAGGATGAGCGATATCCTGCCGGGTTTCAACGACCAAGCCTATGATCTGTCCCGTTCTCAGCATGATAGACCACGAACCCTGATTATCGAAACAGCCTCAAAAGACCTCTGTGGCCCTACTTGCACTCCCCATCGAGCTCTCACTTTCTACAACTCACAGAATCGGATTAGATGGCTTCCGAGGGCATCACCTTTGAGCGTAATTCCGCACAGAATGCAGTCGACGCAGAAGGACTCCAGCAGAAGGGAGACGAAGAAGCTGCAGCCCGCCATCGACCTGACAGAGACGGGATACTTGATTCACTGAAAGCACCTGGAACTGTCTTGCTTGAGGACATAAGTAAGGTTTAGTCCAAGTTTCTGATGGCTCACTTCTGACTGGAGTGGCTTCTCCCTCAGGACGGCTAGCGGACGTCGAGCATGGCGCAGATGGAGTTATTGTCCTCCAGCCACAACCCTCAAGCGACCCAAATGATCCATTGGTACGTGGTCTCATCGTCTGGTGGCAGCAGGCTGGGCTACTGTGAAGAAGCTGACGGTCCTCAACCACAGAACTGGAGCATGGGGCGCAAGGTCCTGAACTTTGCCCTCGTGTCTTCCTACAATCTTTGGATATTCACTATGTAATGAAGACCCCCAAAGTACCTTTCCTCAGATCTAATGACGTTGAAAAGACTTGATATTGCGACAGTGGCTTGGAGTGTCTTGGTCGAAGAATTGGGAGTAACGTATTCCCAGTTGAACGACGCTTTTGCCTCCAACTTGGCAGGCTTAGCTGTGGGATGCCTTTTGTTCATCCCATTCGCTTTGAAATTCGGTCGACGCCCAGTTTATCTTTTGAGCACCTTTATCATATTTATTACAGCGATCTGGCAAGCAGTCCAGAGCAACCTGGCCAACATTATTGCAAACCAGGTCGTCTCCGGGCTCGCAGGGGCGGTTAGTGAGACTTTGCTCACAGTCACGGTAAGTACCACCACCCATTTAGCTTGACCATGCCTCCCAATTGATACGCGGTCAGATCGGTGATATCTTCTTCACTCATCAGCGAGGTAAGGCCACTGCGGTTGGCACCTTCTTTGTACTCGTCGGGGTAAGCGTTACTTGCAAAGTTGGCCGGAACGAATCATTGATAGAATTCTAGTCATTTTTGGCCCCCGTCGCTGCTGGCTACATTGTCGACGGCCAGGGATGGCGGTGGATGTATTGGTGGTGTGCCATATTCCTCGGCATCAACACTCTTGCGTTTATGTTTTTCTTTGAGGAGACAAAGTTTATTATCCCGACCATTGGAATCAGTCCAATCTCCGACGGTCATCACCGAGTCTCTGATAGAGACAAGCTCGAGCAGAAGGATACTCTTCACTCCACTGTCTCGGCACCACAGGTCCTCCATCATGGTATCAACCGCTCCATCCCCCTGAAATCATACCGCCAACGGCTACCATTCTACACCAGTACTCCAGGCGGCTGGCTTAAGTTTGTGCGACACGTCTACCAGCCACTACTTCTACTAGGCATGTTTCCCGCCATTGCATACGGAGCCGTTCAGTATGGCTGCTTGCTATGCTGGTTCTCGATTGTCGTCACTACTCAGGCGAACTACTTTATCCTTGAGCCTTACAATTTCGGTCCCATTCAGATCGGCTTACTGAACTTACCACCTTTCATTGGCAGTCTCGTGGGCTGTGTGTGGTGCGGCCCTATCAGTGACTGGTCGATCGTGTACTTCGCCAAACGTAATAAAGGTATTTTTGAGCCTGAGATGCGACTTTACATCGCAGTGGTTCCCGCTATTCTGGGTCCTATTGGAATCTTCACCTATGGATATGGCACTGCAGCTGTAAGTCACTTGATGCAGTTCCCGAGAAGGATGCACACGCTAACTTTCGTGCCGTCAGGGTATGCCGTGGATTATCCCATGCGTGGGAACGGCCTTTTATGGCTTCGGGATCTCGGCTATCGGTGGCCTCACCCTTACCTTCGTCCTTGATTCATACAAAGAGGTAAAGCTGAATCCCACTGGCGTAGAAGTCGTATCTGGCTGTCACTCACCGGTTCTTATTAGATTGTCGCGGATGCGTTGGTCGCGGTCGCTTTTGTTAGGAATGGCCTTTCTATGGTCGTGGTCTTTGTCCTGACGCCCTGGATTGCGGGCATGGGGTTCAGAAATTCCTTCACACTCATTGGATGCCTGGCCCTTTTCATCAATCTGTTGTGCCTCCCGATGATTTACTTTGGTAAGAGATGGAGGGTAGCGTGTGCCGAGAGATATGAGACGATGATCGGACTCCAGTTCAACACTCGCTCCCACGCAATCTGATTCGAGGCCTCTACAAACTGCCCTGGTAGCTGGTGCTGTCCCTGCAGGTGTAGGTAGCTAGCTCGTAACGTCCTTGACCGTGACGCCAATCCACTACTGGGGGCTATAGGCGGAGAAACGGAGTGTGGGGAAGGTGGCGACGATTGATAGAGAAGCTCTGCATCGCGGTTGTGTGGTAGGAGAAAAGAATATGCTTCCCTCCTCCACGAGAGCCTTTCCAGTGAATTAACGGTAACAACCAAGTAATCACTCAAGACTTGGGAGATTTCAAAAGTACGTTGGTTGCAGGTATGAAAGCATCATCAGGAGGACTCTAGCAAAGGCAGTTGCTTGAGGATACCCAATTTCTCGTACCCTCCAAACAACAGATTCAGTCCATCCACGTCTGTTCCACATACCTCCAGCCGCTCCCAAACTATTTCCAGAAGGGTTGCTGCGACGGAAACTTCCGCGCAGCAAGAGATTTGCAAAATGATTGACATAGCTTCCCTAATTGAGTCGACATCATGCTCCCAAATGGCCGAGGTGCCGACAATGAGAAGAGGCCAGCAAAAATATTTTGGGCAGTTCGTCTTCAGGATGGGAAATCCAGGAGGTTCGAGGATAGTGACGCTCTGCTGCACGCAGTTTTGAATCAAATGATGTGAAGTGCGGATGCTGGTATTAGCGGCCTTAAGAAGGAGTATCTCGATAGCGAGAAGGTAGAGAATTGCGCCTCTCGCGGCGTGGACTTCTTCAAGGCGGTAAAAGTCAATCCTTGTTGTCGAGTAATATAGTGTTTTCCAAGAATCAAAGTCCTGTTTCAACAAGAGCGCTGCCGCACTCCTCTGGGAACTGAAGGGCTGAAGGCTGAGGTGCGATACCTCTAGAACGAAGCAATACAGCTGATGAGGCACTCCGAGAACAGGCGAGTTTGCGACATCAGAGGCTGCAGGATATGCCGGAGTAAGAGCAAATAAAGCAAGATGTGCGGAGCTTTCGTAGATTACATCGTCATGGCCCCCAAGGACGTCAAACATCGACAATGTCGCCGTGTTATACAAAATTGACTCAGCAATGATACGTTCGAAGCTGGGATCTGGTACTTTATGTCCTTCAGAGAATGCTCTTCGGCGGACCTTCAACAGCCGACTCGAAGCTTGTAGATGCTGTATGGGAAGACGGGGTTCGGTAAAGACCCAAATCTTGTTTGCTCGTTAGTTGCTGCCGTTCATCCTTTCAGGTTGAGTGGTACGAAACAGAAACGTAAGGAAGGAGACAGTGACATTACCTCGAAAATGTAGAAAAATACCAAAGTGAGTATTAGCCAGTCCTCACTCCCTGTAACTGCCTGGCTTTCGATTTGTTTCCGGGTCGCCACAACCGCCTTTGTGTAGTATTCGAAAGCTGTCGCAAGACTTCGAGGGTACCTGCTGGATCTATGAAGAGCAGAGCAAGCAAGGAGAGTGTCCATAAGACATGGAAAATTGAGTGCCGCATTCAACAATATCCGGTCGGAGTGATACGCGGAATAGGCGTGTGAGCGAATCATGGATGGGTAAAAAACCCATCGTAAGTGATCAAAAAGGCTGCAAGCCATGGTCGACTCCAAGCGGAATAGGCATTTCAGGGCGGGTGGTGCAGTAACGGTAAAACATGAATTTGCTCTCACATTTGGAGTGGGGATGTTCTTTTCCCTAGAGGTGAGTCTGAAAGACGGATGTGAACACAGATTGTCAGGAGCGGTTTCATTCTTCGGATTTGATGAATATTTCTCCGTCATACTCAGCTTGTTCCCGAACAACTCAGATATGGGTGTGAGTTGTTCAAGGCGCCTGGAAGACTTGGAACGTAGGGCAGGTTGTACCTCTGCGGGCCACAAACAGGCAATACCATTGCGCAAGCAACCGCGACACACAGGCCTACCTTCATCACATTTCTTCCGGCGTCCGCGGCCTGCCGTTACCTTCCCTGGTCAGCGTCTCACATCAGGAAATTAGAGCTCATGTGGCAATTAAACATAGGATAGCATGAGTGTACTGACACGTGAAGCAACCAGTTTTTGTCCTCAGCCTTGCAGGCGGACGTCGTTGTTTCCGTCCCCTGCCTTCGACTCGTTCAACCGAAAACGACATCCTATCAAACTTTGGCGGAGTAGGCGGTGGTTTGCAAGATCGAATAGTTGCGCATTTCCAGGGACAGGATGCGCGGGCATCGACAGTCCAAAACACGTACTGGGTGGATGGGAAGACGGTTTCCGGCAGATTGTCAATGCTACAGCTGCTGTCGCTGTCGCCGTTGTGACTGCTGTCACCGTGATTACCAGTGGTCAATGATAGAAATTGCGATAAATGATGCTTCGCGGCTGGAACTGGGGCAAGGCGAAGAGCAAGTGGGAGGGATGGTGGGCAGGTGCCACGGCCATTTATGGGGGATCTTGTGGGACCAAACAATGGGTAGCGCTTGCCTCCCCTCGCCGATAACAAAATCTGCACAAGGGATAGTCTGCGGGGTTGCTGACTTAAGAATACGTGAAAGCTTCAACTCCGGAGTCCTCGGAATACTCGGAATCCAACCACGAGGTACTGAGCTTTTTGCCACAACTTTAAATTACCTACCCGAGGCTGACAGGAATCGCTCAGGCAATATCCCTGTCACGCGTGTTCTTAGATAAGATAGGAACTGGTGGCTCAGGCGATGATTGGTTTCTACTCATTGGGCATGATTCTTGTTGCCACGGGAGGCTTTGCAGGGATAGGCAAACGGAATTCGCGTCCCTAGCGAAGCTTTGATGTCCCAAAATGGCCTAGTTGCAGACGGACGAGAGATTGCTTTCGAAGAGAAGGGATGAGGAGAAACGAGCGAACCGGCTCTTCCTCGTCCTTTCCTTCTCCTTTAGGTTCGACCGCCTCATGGCTAGGCAGACCCACGAGGTACAGACTTCATCTCGAAACGTCGCACCCTTGAACGCGCCGCAAGCGGTCATAAGATTGAGGTCGAGATGAGAAGGGAGGCTCCAAAGGCTACGATAGTTTAATTTGGGTGTTGAAGGTTGTTTGGTGGTGGTATACGTCTGCGCACAATTTACAAGCAACAAGTATATAAATGATGCCACAAAGCTTCAGACTTAAGCGCAGGAAGAGGTAGGAAGTGATGTTTCCGGTTAGTCAAGCAGGGAAAAGGTGGTGTCCTCCGGCATGCTAATGGGACTTGTCAGACTCATATCAGGCTGGGAAACTCGTAGATGCTGCCACGAGAGACCCTTTCTGGAGAACAGACAAACTCGTCCGGGAGCCACTCTTGCACAATCCCGTCCGGCTTCCAGTATTGCTCTTCAGATTTTACATTCTCACGTCCAAGGACCATCAAACCCGTCGCTACTCCGCTAAGCCATGTCAAAACCATGCCTGAGCCATTGAAACCGGCGCAGATCCACTCTGAAGGACCTGGTCTTGTATCGGTCGCATGAGATTTCATTGGTTGAGTTATGAAAGGGCGCTGAGTTAAACTTGACGAAAGCCGACCAATGTAGGGCATCATGTCGAGAGTGTAGCCCATTGACCCAGTCCACAATTCTTTTACCCTTGATCCATCGGCATCTTCTCCCCAGAATTCCTTCCTGAAAGAGACTGGTAGGACGCCTGTGAGATACGATGCGGTCGGATGGCTGATCTCGCCGTCACTCCACTGGCCCACCTCACCTATACTCCCCCCACTGCCATGGGAGGTACCTCCCCCTGTCATTATCTCTGCTCCGAGGCCTTCCACCCCATCAGGTAGCCCAGGTCGTTGCGAGATGTATTCATAGTCCTTGCTATTGACTATGGACCAGGAGAGACTACCGTTATAGTTTGGGAATGATTTCCCAGGCTTCTGAGCTGACATATGCCCGCGGACAGGAAACAACTTCCCAACTAGACCAGGGATCAGGTTAGCCGTGGAAGCGTCTGTGGCATGGATAACTTGAGAAGCTTTGATGTCGCCGCGAGACGTCTTCAGGACAAACGGCATACTAAGATCGCTTGCAACCTTGATTTCCTGTACCGCCGTTCCTGTTTCGATCGAAAGTTCGTCGGGAAACCCATCTAATAGCGAAGTATAGATAGAGGTGACAAAGCGGTATGGCCACATGGCACCGCTACGGTATTGGATACCTCCATGAAAATGGTCACTGAAGCCAAACCTCTATAAATTGTCAGCGGGCGGGCGGACTTAACGGGATGCGAAGCCCACTTTACCTCTTGAATCGTTTTGGCGTCTAGCACTTCTATCCCTTCCGCAATTATAGGCAGATCAGCTTTAAGTATGTCCAGTTGTGCCACGGATAGGTGCAGCATTTTTGGGTCCGTGAATGCGTCAATAGCCTGCACTTCTCTTACTTCACCTTTGTCATGCCCTTCTCTTTGGGCCAGCTGAAGGATAAATGGTAGATGCTTCATATGAAACGCTAAAATTTTTCGCGCACTCGCAGCGCCGAATCTCTTCTTGGCTTTGGGGTATTCAACGTATGGAGCAACCTTGATATGGCCGCCATTCCTACCGGTCGCCCCGCTGCATATCGTTCTTCCTTCCAGAATGACAACCTTCCGTGGGAGTCCGATTGATTGACTCTCCTTCAAGATGGTGTGCGCAATACTGGCTGCAGACATGCCAGATCCAATTATCACAATGTCGGCAGAATCCGAGAGTTTGTCTGAGTGTATGTTTACAAGCTCTGGATACGGGGGTTGCTGCTGCCAAAACGCCGTCGTACTATTCATAATCGGCAACCGTGGGGCGTTGATGCGTACTAGGGCTTGATTGAAAGAGTCACCGCCCTCGGCGATCGTGGCGAGGAGTCCGCCGAGGCCATAATAAGCATCCCTCAGATGGGAGTAAACGACGCCCATGGCAAATGTTTTCATGAATCTAGGGGGAACAACGGATCCGTTTGTTGCCTCAGTGCCAGTGAGGATTGTGCAATGCGATATAAATAATTAGTACGGCATGGCATTGAGTGCTTGAAGTGTGCCAACTCTTATCTTTTCGCACCCTCTACCCATGTATGTGACGGCGGAGGAGGAACTCTATGCGATTATCGCCGACCTATCATTCACCTTTGCGCGCTCCCGTTCGACTATGTGACCCATACGATCATCTAGCCAATGAAATGGCTGAAGGAAAGAAGCGCTATTCCCAATTAGACAAGCTTTGCTATCTCGGGAGATATTGGGAGTTTCACTGCGGAAAGCGCGAGTTTTGTGCGCCAGGACACTTTCACGACGCTCCTATTGTCCCTCACTTGTTATTTAAATGTGGGCAACGAAGCGAAATCGTTGCGCGGTGAGTGAGGAGAAAGGATATGGAGTACAGCACTTCAGATTTTTCTTTCAACTCAACAATCCCCGCCAATGATCAAAGACAGATTAGAATGGACATCAGCAGCGTAAATTCTTCGAAGAGCACAGCCTACTTTCATAGTTTATTGTTTGGTCTTACAGAACGCTCTGCTACATATTCGAAAGTGTAAGTTAGATACTTCGGAAAAGTTCTCAACGTAGTAAAGAATATTCCGAACATGTTCGAGCACCTCCGACTAGCCGTTTGTAAAAGTACCACACGGCAAACTACTGAACAGCGAAAACCCAAACTCATAGGCACGAAAGTTGGCGTCTTGTCCTCTACAGAAACCCTTCAGCCAGCCTCACCTGTTCGAAGAACGTTCTCTGTATGATCGGCATTGACAGTTACCGGGCGATAGTGGTACTTGTCAGAATTCTTTTTTCGGAATTGTGGAGTGTTTCATCTAATTCTAGTCCAGGGCTCGATTGGAGATGGAAATATTTTGGCTTAAAAGGCGAGGTAACAGTTCAATTAATATGGGCGTCGGGGTCGCAGCAAAAAAAGCATCCTCGCCTGGCATAGTCACAAACGAGCAGTTGGTTACTTCCCCAATTCACCTTTCTCGCATCTGACCACAAAGCCTTAACTGAGACTTACCGATTGTCATGTCAGCCCATACCTACCAGTGCTGTATCGTCCTTTATCACATACCATCAGTCCCATTAAAGAGCCATTGGGCAATCTCCACTATCATGACGTTCACAACCATACATGTTACTCATGGTTCCTGAACAAACGGGGCAACTAAAACGTGCGCCATTCGCTGCACTTAGACACCAAGTCATAGCAGAGAAATCACTACCGGGGGAGCCAGGGTTATGCTTGACTCTCTCCCAAGGATTCTCCACCGTTCGACATTTCCAAGAAGCTAATACCTTGCCTCGACTCACTTCTATTCGTCCTCAATATCGTCGATCCTCGCAAAACGGCCTTGTATATATACATGTAGCTTGACAAAAGGAGACACGAGCTTCTATGTACCCCATTCATTACAGTTGTTCGTACCATGACGCTTCTCCGTAATACACCTATCCACCAAATACTGGTAACGAAACAGGGAGTATCTCCCTATCGCAATAGGAAGATCTAGCGATCGCTATACTGGACCAAATAGCGGGCAACACATTGTCAAAGAGAATTCCAAGCGACACAAGCTCAGATCCATTTTGAGCTTGTTTGAACCAAGTGGCCTGGAAGGACTTATAAACAGGTGCGAGAGGCTAGGAACGTCTACGCAGTATGAACAACTATTCATGTCCGATCAGTCTCAATGTAGCCATGTCCAATACTATGATTACTCGAAACATATCATGATAGCTTTCTAATCTGACACCATATCAAATGCAGTGGCTATGTTTGTGAACCATATGGGGAATAGAAGTAGGCTTCTTCCACGCCCTTTCTGGAGAACTTGTTGCAATGCGCCAGATTTGCAATTCGTCCTCGTCCGTGTTGATCCTCAGTTACTCTTCAATCACGACTCATCATCGAGTGGAGCATCCACATGCATGGTGAGGTCTTTCGCGGGGTTGATGGTGAAGCACGTAGCTGAAGCAAAGTCAGAACATTTGTTGACAGGAAAGAATTGTCTGGTAACTTTACCAACTGCACCAACGAAAGAGAAGACTGCTGCGCATACCCATACGTATCGAAAAGAGGACAGATATGCCTCCTTCAAACCAAGAATACCGGCTTCAATGATCTCAGGGGTGACGTTTGGAAGCGACAGCAGAGCGCTGCGATCACCACTGACCAGAGCGCCAATGAAATCGGGGAGAACTTGAGTGGATAGTCCCAAAGGTAAGACACTGCTAGCAATGCTAGGTCCTAGATTTTTTTCTATCTGGGCATTGAATATAGCGTTATCTAGAAATATTAGCATCGATCAAAGCAGAAAAGTAGTGTCTCCCTACAGATTGCAAGTGACACAGAGCCACCCAGTGAACGCATCGAAATCATAAGGCCGCTTGAAATTGCACTTTATAGCATTTAGTATTTGTAATCATGGACTGCTTAGTGATGAAGAGACGACTGGTATTGCTTACATTAATGCTGGAGGTGCGCTAAGCTGTGCGGCGGCGACGAGACAGGTAAGGCAGACACCGAGCCCAAATCCAACAAAGATAGGGTAGGCCCAAACTGCCGTTGAACTTGATAGTGTTGCTGTGGCCATCAAAGCTGGTTCCCGATTTAGCTCTAGTGCACCAGAGGGAAGCGTTCCAAGATATTTATACACACCATTAAAGATTGTAAATGAAACGAAGGAGGCTACCAATGGGGCTCGCAGTTCCTTGGTGAATAGGAAAAATGCCGTCAGACCGAAGGAGCAAACGATGACAGTAAAAAATGCCACCGCGAAGCTGCAGAAGGTGAGCATGTGTCCTGTGTTGGAGAGTAGTTATATGTGCTTACTGAAGTCCTATCCGCACCGCATCTGTTTCATACAGCACAGAAACTTCAAAAGGCAAAAAGTTGTTAGTGGCCTGTATGTGCACATTAGTTGTTAATGACATCATTGCACAACGCCAATGACACATACGAAGAATACTAAAGTCCATTAGCTATCATTTTGCTCCGTCCCTGAGTGGTGGCGTCTAAACTTACCCATCCCTTCAACAAAAATGCATATCAATGAGATTGCAAAGTTTCGATCTTTCCTGGGAGGGCTTTAGCAAGAGTTAGAGCTCAGTAGGAAATCCTCACTGAAATAAATCATGGTGAATCATTCCGTCCTTCTTAATAAATCCTTGGTGTACTCCAAGTCCGACGAGAAGGAGGACTCCGATCGAGAATGGGGCGATTATATGAGCATCGGTCCATCCGTCTGCTATAAGTCAGTACGCTTCTCGGGCAAAGAATCAGGCTCGGATATACATGGGTTCTGGGACCATGACAAGGCCATACTAAACAGCACGATTCCACTGGCAAGCAAAAGGATGCCGATCCAATCAAGCTGCAAGAATTTTGTCATTAAATATGATTCATTTCGAGGTATGGTTTCTGCACCTTTCTTAATTTTTGTGTCGTTGTCAAGGTTTTTTGCAATGGGCGGGGTGGTGGATTGTAGAAGAACAGGCACAAAATACCCGATACTCCCAAGGCTCCCGCAGTGATGTACCAAAATGTCCGGTAGCCTTGGACAGACCTCTGTACCAAAACAGATCCTACCAGAATTGAGAATACACCGGCAAGACTGATGAAGAGGTTGATACCCGCTTGTGCCGCAGGTCTAAATCTTCGGGGGAGGATCTCGGAAGCTACGGCGTACAGCAGTGGTTGGGAGCCATAAGCGACACCACAAATTACTTCACCAGCAATTGCCATACCCATGGACCTTGCTCGTGCCACAATCATGCTACCAGCAAAGCCGACGAGTGTCGGTACCACAATGAGCCATTTTCGGCCCCAGTAGTCTGCTGCCTGAGACATGGGAGGTCCAAGGACGCACGTAAGAATTGCGATAGATTGTGAGAGCCAGACCGTCTCTGTTGCACCTCCTAAGTCTGCAGCAAGATCTCTAGCATACTAGAAGGAGAGTATGGTCAGTTCGGGTGAGTTTTGAAGCAGAGAAGAGTGCGGTGCGTACAGCAGCTGCACCAACTAGGTTCAAGATTTGTGCGGCAGCGATGAGGTTGACTGACTGTGCAACGTTAGAGAGAATTCGAGGTGAAGAAAGACATGTCCTAGAAATTCGCACCAAGTAAACCAACAATGTTTTGGCCTTGATGCCATGGTAGTTGTCGACGTCGATTGTTGCGACCCTGGGCAAGTCTGCTGCTTCCTCATGATCGCTCGCGGCCGATTTTCTTTCCTCGACAGACATTTTGACAATAATCTTGACGCAACGAGGTCTGACGCAGGCTCAAAGGCTGTAGTGTTTATCAACTGGTCAAGTCAAGTAAAGATGATATTGGCTCGATCTTGTATTGTACAGATGAGTTCGAGGGGTGCATGCACTGTTAGGGATGCCGTGACTGTATTTAGTCTGGACCCGAAGGGCAGCAGTGTCGAAACCTAGACGTTCCCCTCTTCACTTCTCCACACAAGTCCGTGCGAAGTTCCCCACTCACCATCCCCACTGGGCTTTGATTCAATTCCTCCTTATGATTGAGGCTCCAATCTGGATTGCCCATCCTACATGCCGGTTACAAGCCTCTTTGCCGAGTGTAGGTACCGGTATCCTCTGCTGCTTCGTGACCCGACTAGCCCTGTTCCTGGCGGCAAGGGTTATAAGTCAATTCCCTGTTGCAGCTACTCCCCTAATCGAAATGGCAAGCCATCGCACATCTGTTGAAGGAACCCTCCTTGTGTCTTCAATTTTGAGATCTTTGGATATGCAGTCAGTCACTGCAGCCGAATGGAAACATGAGTTCTCAAATCTTGTGTTCACGGCCATTCCAAACGCATCTGAACATCCTCTCTTCAATTACTCGGGATTTGAACCCGGGAAAACCGTCCTGGCCAAAGGCCATGTCAAAGCGCCAGGCAGAAAACCTTTTACATCAGAAGTGATCTACGAACGAGACACGGGAATACAGATGCGTGATGGTATTCGGATTTTCGCGGATATCTTCCGCTCAATTACGTCCGATAAAAATCCGGTGCCAGCTCTGATGCCCTGGAGTGCGTACGGGAAGACAGGTACAGGTGTACAACAGTACGAATCTATGGGCCCTTTTAGTTGTGGCGTGCCATTGGGGAAGACATCGGGCTACGAGAAATTTGAGGCACCTGATCCCGCTGAATGGTGCGAGCGAGGATATGCCATCATCAATGTGGACGCTCGAGGCGCCGGCATGTCCGAGGGTGACATACACTTTTGGGGGATTCAAGAAGCAGAAGATGTCTTTGACACAATCGACTGGGTGTCTAAGCAGCCATGGTGTAATGGCTCTGTTGGAATGGTCGGCAACTCTTGGCTCGCCATATCACAAATTAATTTTGCCTCCCGCCTCCATCATCCAGCTCTGAAAGCACTGGCGCCAATGGAAGCTCTCAATGACCCTTACAGACAATTAGTTACTCGTGGTGGCAAACCTCATAACATGTCGTTCCACAAGTTACTTATTGATGGAATGGCTGGGCCTAACTCGATTGAAAATATGTTCGCAATGTTGGCGCAACGCCCGCTCTACGACAACTATTGGCAGAGTAAATACATCAAAACAGAAGAAATCGACATTCCTCTCTACTTGCTAGCTTCGTACTCCTCTGGACTACACACAGCCGGCTCCTTTCACACCTTTCAGACTGCAAAAACCAAGCATAAATGGCTCAGGGTCCACCCATACCAAGAATGGTTCGACCTTTACCGACCTGAGGTCAACGACGAATTACAAAGATATTTCGATCGATTCTGCAAAGGCATTGACAATGGATGGGAGCGAGATATACCGCCTCTGCGGCTTTCTCTCCTCGGTTTTGAGGGTAGTGCAGTGGCCACAGTTATTGAAAGACCGGAAAACGAATATCCACTCGCCCGGCAGCAGCTTGAGAAATACTATCTAGACCCCTCGGAACGGAAACTTGTACGCCAGTTGCCTGGAAATACTTCCGCCGTATCGCATGAGGCTCATAATCTCACTACAACATCTGTAAGTCTGAACCCTTCTCAGTTCATGAACTTGCGCGAATAGAAGACTGACTAATCTTTGAGGATTTTACCATGTATTTCGATTCATATACAGAAGTAGCAGGTTATGCTAAAGTACGCCTATGGATTTCGTGCGAAGAGAAAGACGATATGGATGTGTGTGTCCAACTTCGCAAAATCAGCGTGGGTGGCCAACCCATGGAGCACCTCAACTATCACTGCCCGGTGCCCGTCAGCGAAGTACCGAATGTCAATATCGTGAAGACATTGGGGCCCCAAGGCTTCTTGAGGGCGTCTCATGCAATTTCAAGGCGGAAACCATTCCCAAACGACATAGGCTCGAACAGTGGTAATGAAGATGAAGAGTCTCAAGAAGTGTTTTATAGCCACGATCGACGGGAACCAGTAACGCCGGGCTCGATAGTTCCTCTGGATATCACTCTTTGGCCAATGGGAATGGTATTTGGACCCAACGAAGGCATCCTGCTGAGGGTGTCTGGCCATGACATGAATTATCCTGAGCTCGAGGTGGTACGGCTAAGAGAAACTGATGACGAAAACGTGGGTGTGCATACTATCTGGGCAGGGGGAAGTTATGACTCTCACCTGGTGATCCCGATCATTTCGAAGGTGTGAATGCCTCTTTATTGTACTTACTAGTATGAAAAGGTCGATCTTTGAAAGTAGTGATCAGTGAGAAGAGGGTTCTGAGGGAAAGTTTGTGAGATTTGGAAAGAACGTTAGATCGAGAGCCTAAAATCGACGATCTTACAGGACCATGAGCAATGGCAAGCCTTGAGCCGAATGATCAAAGCGACGTCGAGGCTGCATTTGGCAAATAATTGCAGCCATGTAGTATGTCTTCCTCTTCAGCCAGCATGCATCATCGCTACATCTGCTTTGCGTCCAGCGAAGGGATCAATCGGTGGCTCGATTAACCCGTTTTTGGATTGCACCAACACTCTCCCGTGATGGCTAGAGGTGGTTCCTTCTAGTATGAAAGTGGAATGCGTCACGGCCCTGAACGTCTTTGGCCAATCAGGCCTTGGTACACAGCTTGAAACTTTTCTCGATGTTATGTCCAATCTCAATGGCAACTTCCAGTAGCACCGACTTGCCACACATGACGGATCGAGTGAGCAGACTTGCCAGCCAAATTCTCCCATTTGAGTGAGCATCGGTCACTTGGCATTTGATTAGCTAGAAATAAAGCAACCAAAAGATAGGCTTGGCTTCCACAACAAGGTGATCATCCTTCTTCTCTCCCTAATTTCATTCACTATCCGCCTTGAAAGACTATCTTTTCGTTCGCCCCTCGTCCAAATTCCTTACGTGCGATGGGTGATCCTTTGACAATGTTGATTCAGCCAACTTCTTTCTCGTAACCCTGCTTCTAAAATTAACAATCTTTCTCCACATTATCCTCGAAGATTCGTCTAGCCATGCTAGTTCCATTTGTTATCATCCACCGACTTCAGAGAAATGCTTGGAGGAGGGCGACTGTGTGACCTGTCGGAACTGCCTGCTGAGCTAAGGCCAGTAAATCCACGATAATCACCAGTGTAGCTTACGTGGTGCGTCTGTCGAGATGGTGGCGAAAGAACCACCTTCCCTACTGTCGTTTTTAGTGTCCACTAACTCGACGGTGGAGTCGCTGTCCTTGGGTACATCGGTTACTGTGGTCGTGATTGTCTTAGTTATATTCTTCAACTGGGCGTAGTGACTGTTTTTATTGCGGTGGGTTCTGCTACATGAACCAGTATTTGGATGCAGATAGGATTCAGTGGCCACAGTACTTCCGAAGAGGCGAGGTGCAACTCTTCGAAGGAGTAACTGCATCGAAGGCATGCACGCACAGATAATACCGACGTCAACTTCGAGGGTAGACATGTACTTCGAGTGGACATAGTCCCCTTGTAATTATGAGACTTATTGTTGCCAGTCGAAGAATGAACTTACAAGTAAAATTCACCGTCTTTCGATACTTGATAAGGCTCCGGAAGCGCACGGCGCTGACGATTGTTACACTATTCAAAGTGTTAGATCGGCTCTTCGTTAAGCCCTGGTGGTATTAAATTAATTTCCACCTACAATAATCCCACGCAGAACATGGCAACAACTTGGACCTTTTTCTTCCGGGGTAATGTTAGTTTAAGGAGATGCGGAAATGGTAGCAGGATAACAGCGATGTCCAGAATAATGTTGACCGAGCTCCCTATCCAGGTTAGGAGGAAGATATTGATACACTGTCCTTCAGTCTCTCCAGTCCAGCCAGTCCAGGTATAGGATATTGGTTTACATTGCCAGATAATAACAGGGAGGCTTGCAGTAAGGCAGGCTACAATTATGCCCATCAGAATGTTGGTCGAAACTGTGAACATTCGATCTGTGAAAATCCGTAGATAGAATGCGAGGATAGAAAGTTTGGTGACGTTGATACTGTAGTAGTAAAGTATTATTCCAACATAGAAACACTAAAACTGTTAATGTCCTAATCGAAGTATTGGAACCATTCAACCTACTTTCATAATAGTTGTGATGCTATCGGGCGGTATAGAGTGGATATCTCTACCAAAACCATAATGTACAACTACCGTATGGTCAGATTATACGAAGCAGAATGTGTTATCTACCCACTGGTGATATCAACCGCAGATGTCGCAATCGTAGAGATCTGTTGATCCTAAGTCGGGTATCTTGCGCAAAAGAGAGTGTACTTACCATTACTGAGAGTATTAGCCCATCGTCCCAACCAAAAGTCGCCTTGAACGGCCGGATTCGTGTGACCATTCTAAGCAAGACCACCAGCAGCGCAATGCCTCCAAAGATACCAGTAATGACAACCAATTTCAATGAATCATCTCTTTTTGGAGCGTTACAATAATCTAAAGTCGTATCTATAGCGACTGGTTAAATTGTCAGTGCACTTTAGGCCTTGTCAAGGGTGCCAGATCTTCTGCGCTTACATAGCAGTTCTTCGGTGCTGCAAATACCCGTAGAGCACCCGGAAATGTTAGCTGCGAAGGTATCGATGTTTGCGCAAAGACAGACTTTGTCTGTCTCTAAGCATGCTCCTTGCTCAATAACCTGGGTGGTGCAGTTCACCTGCTCGATTTGAATCAGCGACCATTCTGGTGTGAGACCCTAAATTCTTTTCAACGTACGGCACATGATGGCAAACGACCAAGCAATTCCTGTGTACGTCCACGCCACGCCACAACGACCAACACTAGTACGACCCAAATCGTATTCATGGTTAGTCGTATTGGGAGTTCAATTTCGAAAGTCCACTGAAAGGGTCCGGGACAAGTACAGGCTCGTTGCGGCATCAAGAAGACGGAGGCGCAAGATGCATTAAAGTAACATTGTAGAGAGCACGAAAGGGGTCTGAATCTCAACCTCTAGGCAGAGTTCTAGGCAACTCTATCGACGAGACACTGCTGCAGCTAGCTATGAAGAGTCAAATTACTTACACTGGTGGCTTGGACTAAGAACCACGAGACGAGTCCAGTGCCTCAACGGCCGCTTCTCAGGCTTATCTGTCCAAAAACTAGGGGTGCATTCCGTTCTCCGCGAATTGGAAATTTGGACCAGTGGGCCATTTATCCCCAGTTCTAGTATGGCCAAGTTGGAAATGAGCGAGACAACTAATAAGTACTAACTAGTGCGGGAGGCTTATAATTAATTTACCCCTTCCCTGCCAATAAAATATTCTGCGGTGGGTGCAGCACTGTCCGCAACCTTTCAAGACTTGATTCGTGAGTTTTGTTCGAATACAACTATCGGATCGTTGGTTCCATAATACCCCACAAGGTGAACGGGATCCTTGGAAAGTGGACGTGCAACGTGCTGTGGTCCATAATAGACTGCGAACGGATCTAGAAACGGCATTGCTCTGGCCATGTTACTCTCGAGGAATAGCACTGTCACCGGAACATGTAGAACGTAGACGTTAGTGACAATCATGATAAACGTAGACGTTAGTGACAATCATGATAAGGACCAAATGCAGTCGAGAATACAAAACAACAGACTGTCCTGTTGCCATTACCCCCACCCACAGCCCGTAAGGGCGCACGTGAGAAAATTTGGAGCGAGCCTGCAGAAGCGCAACAGCATGGCTACTGTATGGAATAGAATTCCCGATGTGGCCCCAAGCATGCTCCTTCCTTCTCGTGTGGTGTGCCGTCGTTACGGATCAATAACTTCGACGAAACTGAGTTTATTATGGGTTCCTCAAGTCTGGAAATCAGCTCGTAGACCCGAAAGGGAGAAGCTGTGGGGAAGATGTGGAGAGATTGAGTGGAGAAGTATGGAGGAAAAGCTCTTGTGGAGATTTGGGCGGAGAAGCTCTTGAGGAGCAGAATTATGTTGTCCCATTTATATTATTAATCCGACTTAGGCACCAACTGTTACTGTAATCTTACCTATGCGTCAGTCCTTAAATTCCCAGCTGTTACCGTCGATCGAGGATTACTCTGTCCACAATTTGGGTGGAGATTTTGTTTGAGTAAATTTTAGTCAAGCATGGAAATATTCATGGAAACCCCGTGTTGGCACAGTGAATACGAGAGTTTCACATGAGCTAGAGAATGCCACCAATCATCCTGTACGATTGACACGCAACAGTGTGTCTACATGCACGAGAGTACCTGTAGCTAAGGGTCTAGAATTCCATCCCACCGCGAGATGTCACCTGCATCAGCGGTTCCTTGGTTCCATTGCCGATTTTCAGCGATACAAGAGCCCGTTGGGACCATCCCCTGCTAAAGCTTAGTCACTCCTTACTTCGCAGTCTAACTAGATTCATTTGCCCTGGTCTCTACATTTGACAACCCCATTTGCTGCCAGCTTTCTTAATCGTAGGTGCCACTTTCTCACCATGAGTTCTTCGTGAAGAGTTGCTAATTTGCTCAGAGTGGGTCAATCCTATAGCACTTGCCAAACTGGCGTGGAAGTTTACATTGTAGACATCACTGCCCTCCCTACTTGAGCTGTATCACGTCGGACGTCATCAGTCTTGTGGACTCAAAGGTCCAAGATGGTCAGGATTTTAAAGGTCAGGCAGACGATCTGGTTTTTCGCGCGAAAAGAATTGTCGAATGCATCGTCGAGGCCGATGATATCAACGGCACAAGGCCGAATGCTCCCAGAATCTAAAAGTCGATTAAGGCGCTTGACAGGTCTGCGAGAACCACATTTGAATGTTGACGCATTAAACTACTCGTCCTACAACATTGTTGATCGGTGATGCTTTCTTCAATTTTCTCGGCGGCCGAGGCGCCCTAGAAGGCTCCTAAGCATAAAAGCTTGAAAGAAGCTGGTGGCAGTCAAGAGGCACTCCAACCATAGTGACGACTACAGTTGCAGTCTGGTTTAGAGCATGCTAGGGTGCCTGCCAGAGCTATATATCATGCTAAATAGCTGCCTGGTGACAAAGATGGGGGAAATATGCAGGGGTGGGTGAAATCGTGGAAAATCAGTGCTTGAAAACGTCCAAAACACTACAGAAACAAGATGGGAGAGACCACGAGATGTATACTGCATGCGAGGCAATGAGTTTCCCTGCAATTCAACCCCATACATCAAAGATGGGCCGGCCATCAACGGGGCTATTGATGTCGATCGCCAAAATTGTCGTATCCCATCAAAGGAATAGGCTATGAAACTCTGAAAAGTTCGACGAGTCTTTGGATCATTAACTCAAGATAGATTTCTGGAGCGTTTGAGTCAAAGCTAGCTCTATGGAGTTTAGAGATACCAGAATTGCAATCAACTCATCTTTGAACTAGTTCATTTTTCGCTCTTACACCCACAGTTTGCGTATTTACAAATCCACCTCGGACTGAAGTGTTGAATTACACGAGGAGCGTTGAAGAATGGAAACACGTCATCGAGTCCAATGGTCCAAGCCACTCCCCGAGGTCGATTATGTGTAAACCCCCACACTTGGGTTGCTTCCTTTGCACGCATGCAAATTACCCTCTTCGTTCCCGCTTAACTCTACATGTAGTAGGAATGGAAGGAGGCTAGGATATTTGCAAGAAGTATTATCGTTGAATAGTATTTTCCTCCACATGTGAAGATCTACCAGTCGTATTGCTTGAGTCTGTCTCGAGCTGTTTGTGCTTCATCTTCAATTATATTCTTAATTTCAGCGTCCCTCGGTATGAAGCGTGCCGCAAAAGGTTGTGGACGCATGTTCTCACAATTGGTAAATGCAAAGATATTAGGCTTGATTTCCCGTCCCTGTGGATGTTAGTAGCGACCAAGATTCCACGGAAGAGGTGGCATTACCTGGCTGTCAAGTCCTGGTTTGATGTTGAATGCCCACAGCATTCTCGAGATGGTCATGAACAAGCCTTGTTCAGCGAGTGGCTGTCCACTGCACACCCTCCGACCCCAGCCAAATGCATTGTGTCCTCTGAGGTTTGGATACGGTCTTGCGATTGTCGAGCCCTTGATGAATCTCTCCGGGTCAAATCGATCTGGATCTGGGAAATCTCTCGGATTTCGATGGATGGCCCAGACATTTCCCATAATCCACGTTCCTTTGGGGATGTAGTATCTCTCATACCAGTCATCTTGTATTGGTGTATGGGGAACGGCACCCAAAACCGTCACAGTACGCCACCTCAACACTTCCTTGACCAGAGCAGATATGTACGGTAGTGACTCCTCGTTGTCGTTGGCGTTTGGCGCACGAAGGCGCCCGACAACACGATCGAGCTCCTCGTGTGCTTTTGACTGAATTTCCGGGAATGCGCACATGGCGAGGACGAAGCTGATGGTGGTCGAACTTGTAGTATCAACCCCACCACCAATCAAATTGAAAGTCATGTTTCCGATTTCGTCCTCGGTTAGGGCGCTTGAGACTTTCTCTCTCAACAGTTGAGTCGAGAAGCATTCTTCTTTTCGACTGGCAGCTTGCTCGCAAAAATTGTAGAAGTAACTCATCATCCATTGTGTTTTGGCCTGGAATTTGGATGGGAAAGCATAGATCCATGCTGGAAGCTTACAAAGAAATGGAATTGTCTCCATCAAGTACAGTCCGGGAATAACAAGGTCGACACCCTCCATCATCTTCAAGGCAAAGTTGCCAATCTCACTGTTCATGCTGTCGATCCGTTTGCCCCAGCCGACGATGCTCACAACGCTAACCGAGTACCGTTCGATTGCTTGCACGTATTGATCTGGGGTCGTTATGAGGTCATGAGTAAGCACTTTAGACTCCGCATCTTGGAATTCCCGGTGACGACGAGCAGCGGAATTACCGACTGCAGATTGCTAAGTTTTTACAGTCAGTACTTCCAGGTTTGACAAATTTCAACGATTGGTAGAACTAATACCATTAACTTGCGATGGAGCTTCCACCGGCTCCCGTATGGCTGGATAACCTGGTTGCTGGTTGATGCGCCAGAGATTTCCCCCATGACGATCAACTTAGGGCGACTGCTGTATATCGCAGCTCTCTTCTCAAGAAGATCGCTGATGGTCCAGCAGTCGTTGCATATTATGATCGGGGTCGAGCCGTTCCACACCGTAGTCATGGGACTCTTGTACACTTTCGCCCATTTCTCATACTGGAGCCAAGGCCTCACAACTGAAAGCGAGAAGTAGTTCCCAAAAACAGGAATTGGGAATGGGCCAGGTGGCAATTTCCGACGGAGGAGAAGTATGCGAATATAGTCAGCGAGGACGAAGAGAAATGCGCCGATGACAGCAATCCAGACGGCAGAGAGTTTGGAAGGGGAGAAATCGACGTTCTTTGTGAAATTCATGTCACCTTCATACGTCTTGAGTGGGTGATACGATGGCGGTAACGAACTTGACGTTGGTTTTCTTAAGACACTCTCAGATATATAGTTGTATGTGAAGGAACCTCCGTTCCGCGGAGCGGGGGTACCTCGGGGATTTGCAATACCTGTGTGACGTAGAAAGAGACTTCGACGAATGAGGTTAAGCAATAAAGCCTGCTTGATGATTGTGGCCTTTGCGGGGAAGAGAAGGCTCGTATTCTTGGTGATACTCCTATAGCCGGTGCCATCCTGGATTCACCGAGTCAAGGGTTGAGGATCCATAAAAAATAAATGGTTCAAACCGGCAATAACGCGCAAATGTCAAAGACTGAGTCCTGCCTCTGGGCCGACAGAGGAGTGCTGAGGGCGAATGTGGACCTTTGTGGAAGGGCTCGTTAAATCAACACCTACCTTCCTCGACGCTCGGAGAACGGGCTTAGAATTTCTTGCTCGGCAACTCGTTGCAGAGGGTAGGATATGTTTGCGATTTCGAAAGAGCTCAGGGTCCCCACAAAATTATGTCTGCCCCACAAACACACTATTTCAAGGCCTGGAGTAATCTGGAGACATCGGAGCAGTCGCGGTAGTGCGCTTGGTTCATGGAGTTGCTGGACACGGACCCACTTAGTCGGAAATTTCCGAAAATGAAACAACGAGTCTACACTATGCTCGTCGATAAAACTAACACCGAATTGTTCGCTTAGGTTTGTGACTCCTTACTCGCAACCAGGGCCTCCCCCGATTGACTTTCTCCAAAGTAAAAACTCCCCACGCAAAGAAATCCAAATCCACATGCAGTCTTGAGATCGCACCACAATACGAAGACCCCATTCCGATACAACGATGATTGAAACAAAACTTGTTGAACAGTAAAGGCTCAGCCAACGGCTCAAGCAATGGCTTAAGCAAGGCTCCAGCCACAACTGGCGCATGGCGTCTAGACACTTTGTGGAAGATCGTGTTGGACTTTCGACGTCTCCGTTTCAACGGCCTAGCTGACTAGAAGGAGAAATATACAAGTTGGAGGTCTTTGGTGAGGTCCCAGACAGAGGCTATCTCGGGCACGTTCTATCATATAATGCTCGAGCCAGCTTTGATACCTTATACCAAAAACGGTCTTGTGAGTCATGCACACTTTGATGTGTGTTTTGAGGAGTCTAACAAGTTGTCTTCAGTGACTCATTGGCGATGGTGTTGTGTCTAGATTTCGGATCGAAAAGGGCTAGATCGACTTCAAAGAACGCTATGTCATGAGTGAAATGCTTACACAAGAACGGATTGCTAGAAGATCTCCCACAGGTATGTCGTGACCAAGGGATGTGGACAATTCAGCTGAGTTCAATAGGGGGTCTATCGTAGTCCGTTCACTGACCTTGCTGCCTTTCCTCACCCCACCGTAGGAAATACCAGCATTATTCCATACAAGGGCAAATTATTGGATGGACTGCCATACGAGAAGGACTCTGAGACTCTTAAACTCACGAGAGTCTACCATTTCAAGGTCAATGGGATGGTAAGACCTTTACTGCTCATCCCAAGTATGATACATCGACAAGAGAAATGGTCGCCTTTGGCTAAAGGCGAAGCCACAAAAGACATTTTCATTGCGTCTATTAAGAAGCATGGAAAACTGACGGACCAATACTGGATCGAGACACATGTTGCAGGTTGGTAACATGAGATGTGTACGACCGAAAACTATGTAAGCCATTTCGGCTTCCTGAAGTGATGCCCCAAAGTCTGACATATCAGGTCATGTCCCCATCATCTCGAGGCACATGAGTCTCGATCTTATGAGGGCCGGAGGCCGTGGCTGGCAGTGGCAACCACACAGCCCATACTACATCAGCATTCTCACGAGGCGGAATCCAAAAACTAGTGACGTTAAGGTATGAGGACCTATGATGTTGCATGCCCTTGTCGTTATGTTGCTCATATTGCGAATTAATACGAGAAGGACGGCGAGATCCATTTATACATGACGGTGGCGGATGGCATTGTCTTCGGATTTCTGTTCCCTGACAAAGATGGAAATGCACCTCCGTTTAGCGTACATCCAAGTCATCTCTCCAAATGGGAGATTGGTCCTACTTCGTCGAATCTAAAATTGGATCCGAACAAGTTCTCATTCAACTCGACGATGAATTTCCCGGTATCGAAAGGATTCGGCTATATTTTTGGCAATCTCCGGGATGACAACCTCGGGTCAACGGACTGGGAGTTTCTTTCAACTCGAGTGGGTGGCACGTCTAGACTTCACACCTTTCTCAAGCTATATACGCTAACATTCCCCCAGGCGGATTTACACCGTTCAATTCCATTTTCAAGTATGACGTGGAAACTACTAAGCTGGTCACTTACTCGGATGGCCCTCACCGCCTCTACCAAGGACCTGATTTTATACCTCGCTTCCCTCTGCTCCAGAAGGCAATGGTTGGTCAATAGCTTTGGTCAATAACTACCAAGACATGCTGACAGAGTTGGCTATCCTGGATACGAACGACATGACGAAGCTTGTTGCAGTCATAAAGTTGCCATTAACATTGCGTCACGGAGAGCATGGCAAAGGGGTTGACACTGCGGATATAGACAGCCATCTACTTCCTGTTGAGTTGCATTAGTAATCGGTGGCACAACATGAAGTTTCGCCTGCATTAAATGTATTTACTGCCAGCGAAATCTTGAAGGTCCAAAGACGTTGCCTTCGTAAGTACAGTATCAATCCTTGGTTTCTCGATCCCAGATTGATTTTGCACCTCTGCGCTAGTCGGTTACGATTACTATTGTGACAATTTCGCTGGCAAAGATACAGGATGTCACAGGCCTCTGTGCTCAGGTTGTGCCTTCTATGCTGCAATGCTGTATGTGTACGTATAACCTGACGCAATCTAAGGTCTCTCGAGCCGTTGACTCTGCAGAGACATTTACCAAAGTGAAAACCTCCTGTTTTGGGTTTGCGTGAAGCAAGATTCATTGATTGTTTGCCGACATGGGCATACAAGGTTTCATGATGTGCTTCCTCAAGCTCAATGGTAGGCGATAGCTTCGTGAAATGTTCTTTCATGATGTTCTCCTGTGACGACTAGTTTGAGTATCTATAAGTCGAATGTGACACGCTGCATAATAGGCTTTTCGGTTGAATAGGGAGCAGCAAAACAGCGCAATCCATTGAAGGCTGTCAGTAGAGACACCGTTCAAATCTGTCTGATATCTCAATTTGCTATCATGTGGCTATCTATGTGGTTTCCAGCTTTACCTCTAGTACGGCAGTGACACCAGATTGAACTACCTGGACAGCTTTGGGCAACTGTTCCAAAAGCTCCTCAATCGTACTCACAGAACATCCCCAGCATTTCCCCGCGGTTGCAGCCTTTGCAATTCCGGAGTAGTCTGGCGTTGGTTCGAAACTGATGTGGAGGTCCAGGTTGTTCACCTTACTACCTTCGCCATCCGGATGCACAAGTAGCAAAGACTTTCTCGGAGCGTTCCAACCCTTATTGTTGAGAACTATGGTAAGAATAGGGATATCATATCTCCCAGCAATCCAGTACACTGATGATGGCACTGAGAACATATAGGTTCCGTCTCCAACAATCTGGCAGACAAAACGACCTTGATTTGTTCCATGACGATTCCCAGGAGTCCGTTGTTCGAAGTCTGTTGCTAGCTTGATGCCGAGAGCACCGCCGCCCGACCAACCTAGACCGCCACCGCCGCAGTTGATCCACGATTTGGGCGACACAGGTGCGATCTGGTCAGCGAAGGCTCCTGTCAAAGTCACGGCTTCAATAGCAAATATTGTGTCTGAAGGCACAGCCGCCTTGACTTTGGCGGCCAATAAATGTGGTTGAATCACAGAACTCACTGGCGGTGAAAGAGGCTTTGCCAGATCTTTTAAATATTGCTGCCTCGTGTCGTATAGTCGTTGCCTCTCTTGTCCGGCTTTCCGATGTTCCTCAGTCCCTAGTTCACTCGACAGGTTTAACTTGATGTGGTGTGAAATCTGATTCAAAGCAAGCGCCGAGTCGGCTTTGAAACGAGCTGATGCAGGAATGTAGAACACTGGCATTTGTTGTTTGAGCGGGTCAATATCGATGTGAATGATCTTTGCCCCAGGGGTCGGCTTGCATCTGGTGGGAATCCATGGAACATCGCAATCTACGACAAGAATAAAATCTGCTTTCTCGATTTCTTCGTGCACTCCATACGCAAACCCGAGATACGCCGGATGATCTGCAGGGAAACACACTTCAGACCCACCACTATCGAGAACTTTGAGGCCTGGTACTTGATCAGCTACAGCGACTGCTGCCGAGAGACCCTCGGCCTTGCGCCCCGAATACCCGACAACGAGAAGAGGAGATTTTGCGTTGACAAGGGCGATTGAGATGAGCTCCACAGCATCGCCAGCGAGCGGACCGGAGACGACTGGCTCCCAGAGTGATTGATCCAGACTGTAAGGTTCAATGATCTCTTCCATGGTCTCTCTTGCTCCACAAAGATATACTGGACCCTGCGGGTCACTGGTTGCAAACTGTAAGGCGCGGTTCACAATTTGTTTAATGTTGCGACCTGCCTTTATTTCGGACGTGTATCTGCAATATTGGGCTACAAGCTGTTTTTGGTCGGGTATATCTTGGAGCCAATGGATGAATTCTGTCCGGGAACCTCGATATTCGCCCTCGATGGTATGGGGCGATAATCCGGCAAAAATCAAGACGGGCGCACGACCACAGGATGCATTGTGAACAGCCGCGGCTAGTGCTTGAGTGCCAACATCGACATGTACAATGACACATTGAGGTTTACCGGTAAGTCGAGCATATCCGTCGGCCATTGAAAGAGCCACCATCTGAGAGATTTAGCTGATAGATCTGGCGCGTAATATGAGCCACAAACCTCGTTGGGGCAGGTGATAATCCTTGGGAAGCCGGATTTGATTTCATTCTGACCGCACACAATGGCTTCCATGATTGCTGGGTGGTCAGACCCAAGGTTTACGAAAATATGAGTGATGCCAGCCTAACCTATACTTAGCGCGGGCCAAATAGAAGCGATGGAAACTTTGGTACCTCGCATAGTGCTTCAAAAAAGGCATATGACGCCGTATACGTCCTGAGACCTGTTAGCATTGTAGACAGGACGTACATCTGTGGTTACCTTTTTGATTGTAGAGCCATGACTGAGATTGTTCTGCTACCGAGGGATGGTCGTCGTCCAAGAAATGGGGCGGTTTGAGTGGCACCTAACTCTATAACCAGTAGCACTGCTGAGAACTTTATCGAAACATCGATCTGTGGCAAAGCGCAACGTTCCCTAGCAAACCCCCGAAAGGAATATTTTGTTTATGACGCGACTCGCTTTTGATTTTGGATTCCCGTCCCCACAGTCTGGAGAGAATGATGCTTGGTGCGGTCCGCGTACAGATTTGATTCCGGATACTGGCATGCAAAGGTTGAGCCCCAATCGGAAACGAAGTCGGGGTAGTCCAAAGCTCCAATGGCGGAACATTCCGGTCATCTGAATGGTAGAATCTTCAGTGCTGACAAGTTTTCAAGAGTGCTGATGAACGTTCACGCTTGAATCTGTTGAGCTAGGTTCCAGAGAATCTGGGAATGTTGTTCCGGCGCTATCACAACAGGCTGTGGCACTGTCAAGCCAAAAAGCGGTTTGACCTTGGCCGAATGAGTGATTGAAGTCTTCGCATAATTATGAGCTTCAAGGTCAGAAATGTTGCTCTACCCGGAAAAATGCCCGCTTATTCGCCACAGTTAGGATATTGGAATGGAATGACGTGATATTTAAACCTCAGTTTTCGTTGGCTTGACTTTGGTGATAGCTAACTCGTGCCCTCGGAGGTGTCACCACCCATTCTATTTGAGACATAACTTTATATGCAGACCACAAAAACGGAAGCTTTGTATTTGTGTAGCCTTCTATATAAGCTTTGTTTGCTCCGAGTGCACAAATTGCTAAGCGTGCGACGATATCGGGCGTATGGGCATGCCGAAAGTGGGACAAAGCTTGAGATACAGGTCATTGTCGACTTTTTGCAACCTGCGCCTGGAGAAACTCCAATCCACTTGTAATTGTCTCAAACAGCTTGTCACCAGCATTAATTCTAGCGTCGAAACCATGGGGTGCTCCTTCGACAATTACCAAATGAGTATCGGAGCCCTTAGCTTTCAATTCCTCATGCGCACGCCTTGCAAACTTGACATCCACTACCGTGTCTGTGGTGCCGTGTATGAAATATGTCGGGGGGAAATGCCCGGTCGAAAACAACTTGGTTGGCTCCACTACCGCATAATCTTCTTGTGGTAGTATTTTATCTAAGAGAGTTCCCTCCTTCAGACCCGTCAACAGCCAAGCATTGCGAGGAGTGCTGAGATCAGGGCCCTTGGGCCCGAAAGGTGGTGGAGAACCTGTCGGCGGTGGAACTTCATCGAAGACCTTTAGCAAGAACTGTTCACTTACTGGACGTAGCGCTGATAGCGCATTCTGAGGTTCGTGGTAAAAGGGATCTTCCAGATACTTCATCCCAAATAGGTCTAATATCGCCAAAGGTGGCTTTGGCTGTCCAGCCTTGATCAGAATCACAGTTAGCTGCTTGAGGATGATATCCATGAGTCCTTGTCACTTGCCAGCAAAAGTGCGAGAGTCCCACCACAGGAGTGGCCTAGCGTGACTATTTTTTCGCCATTCACCTCCACATCAGCTTCCTGCTTGAGTAGCTCAGGCAAATCTTTTTGGGCCCATTTGTAGCAATCGATCGCGTCGGCTACCGGTCCCTCGCGCACGGATATTGTTGGACAGAGTCGATAGTTGTATGATACCACGACGAACTCCAGATCCAGAAGTTTCTCGATGTGCGGAGTGCCGAGCATTGCTTTGGACCCTACAGTGAAACTTCCGCCATGGTGATAGATTGCTGTGCCAGTCAAGCCGGTTATCAATTGAAATGAAAGACTTGTAAAGGATTGGACCAACCTATTGCCTTTGGTTGGGATGATTCCGCTGAGTTCCAATACACATCAGCTGTAAGAATCACTTCTCCGTCCCTATCCTTGACTACTTTGTAGATGAACTCTTTTTGTCCCATGATTGGATTGCGAGATTGAAGAAAGCTATAAATTACTAGTGTATTCAGCTGCCGCACACTGCTTGCAAAATTGATTTCTTGGAGCTTATTTAATGGCCGAATGAGAAAAGTTTCGTCGCGAGGTAAAATATACTGTAGAACTGGAATACAAGTCTCAACGTTTTAGCGTCCCTGCAAACCCTCGCAGGCGACAGGTGCATGTCCATCAACTATGTCCGAGTGAGCCAATAATGCCCGAGTGAAAAGGGTGTTCCGAGTTCCGCGGTGAATTCCGACACTACCTACGCACTGGATTAGTCCCACGACGAATTGCAAATGGATCCCTTCATCCCGATTTGACATGCCGAAAATCATTTCTCATCCGAGGTGGTCGCTTGAAGCAATCTCAACACGGCCCTGGATTAGCGGACTACCGGCCGGAGGATGCGTATGAATAAACGGCATTTAGCCAAGGGCGCTTCGGAAGTAAGGACGTAGATATAGCATATATACCAGAGCATAGTCATGATTTCTGACCGAAGAGATGGTTCAGACTGTGTTACATATCTCTCCCTCACATGTAACAGAGAATATCCTGTTGTTTCCAGGCAAGCCATGGTTACCATCAGTCTAAGAGAAGCACTTTTGCTTCTTGGAGTATTGTTGATAATCACCAAGGCGGTAGGGATCGGACCTTTCTCCAATAAGCGAGCTGGTCTGGCTCCTGGTCCACCAGGTGTGTGTTCTTACTCTGTAGAAGATCCATCCATGATTGACAACATCACAGGAAAACCGTTCATAGGAAATCTTCTTGATGTTCCACCTTTCCACTCGTGGCTCAAGTTCAAAGAATGGGCGGACCAGTACGGACCAATCATGAGTATCAATCTTGGTGGTCGGTTGAATTACATTGTATCAACAGAGAAAATCGCCAATGATCTTTTACGTGAACGCGGGAACATATACTCGGACCGCGAACAAACCCCAGCTGGTGCGCAGCTCTTGAGTGGTGGGCTTCGACCTCTTCTCCTGCCTTATAACGGTAAGTTCTTCGTTACCACATCAAGATTTGCTCTTACCATAATCTAGACGTGTGGCGTAATGGAAGGAAACTAATGCATCATTTGACAATGACAAAAAAAGCCAACAGCTATCAGCCCACACAACTGTTGGAGTCTACCAAAATGCTTCATGACTTGATCAAGAGCCCGAAAGATTACGAATTCTTTTTCGAAAGATACGCCTCAGGGGTAATCTTCAGACTGGCTTTTGGGAAGAGGATCGACGAGAAGAACGAGCCAATACTCAGGAGGATCGTCAAAGTCAATCACACTCTAGAAAAAGTCGCATCACCTGGGAGTTATCTGGTCGACACGTTTCCAAGCCTGATGTACCTCCCGAGATTCTTGGCACCGTGGAAGCGAGAATTGGAGGACTACCACACCTTCGAAAGTACTCTCTTCAAGGAGCTCTTGGAAGACGTCAAAAAGGACCTGAAAGAAGGACAGGCTACGGACTGCTGGGAAAAGTATTTTGTTGAACACGCAAGTGAATACAGCTTGACTGAAGAGCAGGGTGCATACGTGATTGGAACTCTCTTCGAAGCGGGTTCTGGGACAACAGCGGCGGCAATGATGTCTTTTCTTCTGGCCATGGTACACTACCCTGAGTGGCAAACCAAGGTGCAACACGAGATTGATCAAGTGGTTCCAAGATCGAGGCTTCCAACATTCGACGACTTGCCAAACTTGCCCACAGTCAGAGCGATGGCGAAGGAAACCGTCCGCTGGCGGCCTGTAACTGCGGGAGGGGTGCCGCATATGCTCTCCCGAGAAGACACTTACAATGGCTTTGTGTTACCCGCAGGGACGAATGTCCATGCCAATCAATGGGCAATTCATCATGACAAGGAGCTTTACCCGGACCCCGATAATTACAACCCAGAACGATGGCTTAACCCTAAGTATCCGACATACAAAGAGCCGCTCACCATTCACCCCAATCTGCAAAACTTCTCCTGCTTCGGATTTGGCAGGCGCATCTGCCCAGGACAAAACATCGCCGAGAGGAGTCTGTTCATCTTGGTTGCCAGGATCATGTGGACATGCAAAATCTCGAAAGCTAAGGACGCCACAGGCCACGAGATCGACGTTCCTCTTTACAATTACACTACTGGTTTCAACGCTCAGCCAAAATCGTTTCCGTTCGAGCTCAAACCTCGCGACGATAGTCGCCTGGGTGTCGTCGAAAAAGAGTATGAGTTCTGGCAAATGAACGATCCACTTGTCGGAAGATGAGATCGGAGTACAAGCTCCTTTGGTTGTGTACGAAATATGGCTATATAAGGGATTGACGCAATTAATTATAGTAAGTTTTGGGAGATCTATCACTGAGTACCATCCTGGCAGGCGTGTGAGGGTCAGGAAGGATAACCTCAAACGCAAAGAATCATTTGCAGAGACATTTATATCCGCTTAGCAGTGGATCAGGATTCTCAATCCTCAAACTAAAATGGGCGTGCAAAAAGAAACTCTTTTACATAGAATTATTATTATCGGCTGAAATCTACATGCAGTGTGTTTAGATTAGATTAGAGTGCGAATAATCATTGCCATCTGGGCGCCCAAACCAAATCAGGCGTGCGTACAACACTTAAGTGAGACTCAGCTCAGGCCAAGCCACACATGGTAAACTTTGAGCCGGTCCTGAATCAGCACAGAGGCGGGAGCAAAAAATGAATTGTGAACCGAGCCGTGCTGCAAAGGAAAAAGTCTAGGTACTGCTGGATTCTTAAAGTGTGGCTTTAACTCTACGGCAATGTGCTCCGTACAGCCCATTGCTTTTATGACAATCCGACACTAAACCAGTGCTATTCAGATGGAGTTCGCGGAAAGACAAGAAAGGAGCTCTGAAGGTTGTACGGAGGTCTTTGGTACTATAGTTATCATGAGTTTTCTGCAGTCTCATGGTCTCATGGTAAACAGTCCTCACTTTGCAGCAGTATCGGTGATGACCAAAACCGAAGAGAGAGTACTCT